GCCTTCTGACGTTGAGCATCCGTCATCAAGAACTGCCATAATCTTTTCCACACAGGATGGTCTCAACTTTCTCTTCTCTTGATCGACGCTCACATAGGGAATGTAGTCTTTGACGGTCATTTCGATGATGTTGCCGTTGGGATCTAACATGAATGGAGTTCGTCCTGTCGGCCATACAAATGAATAGCCAAGGTCGACGCACCGCTTTCCCATTGAGAGCACGGAAGGTGTATCTTCCAAGATGTGTGCTTCTGCTGGTTCGCTGAATGCCTCGAACTTGATGCTTGACCGTTTGGTCGAACACGTTACCCCATTTGCTGTGTGGAAGTTGACGACCTTCTCATCATATGTTGGGAGATCCATTCTACTTATTCGTGTGGATGAAATGAGATCATGACCACTCCCAGAATCCAATATGAATCTCTTATCTCTCTCCTCAACAGGAACAGTGATACACATTGTGTTTCCCCTTTTGCCATATCGACCTTCAATATGCTGAACGTAGTTCTCCACAAAAACTTCCCTGGACACCTCATCGTCCTCAATGTCGAGTCTGATCAGAATGTCCATGCTAGGGCCGACGATGACCAGGACTTCATCAATGTCACTGTATTCACCCTTCTCATCGATCAGAATAGCCATTGCTTTCCCTCGGCTCGAGGCTAACCTACATGAATAAGACCATTGCTCATCTTTCCTTACCTGATCAGTGGGCTTACCAACTTTGCCATGACCTTTGGGAGTGGTTTGAGATTTCCGGCTGCACTTCACGAAGTCCTTCTTCACGTAAGTTTGAACGTTATTCTTAGACTCATCAAATTTGACCTTCTTCTTGATCACGTTCGATGCAACCTTATGGAACGTCCCTTCGTCATCACTCCAATCATGGATAAGTGCAGGTGTAGCCTTTGAGCTTGGTGCTTCAGTGTTTGGAGCAGTGTTGAATAGATGAGGATCGTGGCGTTTGTTGCATTTGTCTCCATACCGACACTTGCCTTTAGCCCAATGCCAGCATGGTTCATCAATCTTCTTGGTCTTGTTTGCCGGAGATTGACTTCTTGGAGTTCCGGGCTTCCGACCATTGCCTTTTGCGTTCTTGTTCGCATCAAACACCTTTTGGTCGTGACTGTATTCGCAATCTTTGCCTTTTCTGCATGCTTTCTTGATGAAATGGAAGTGACATGGGATTTTCTTCTTGGATCTCGGGCTGGTACTTCGGCTGTTTGCTCGATCCTTTCCTTTCCCTTGACCTTTTCCTTTCCCTTTCGCATGCTGTTTAGGCTGAGGAGATGGTAGAACTGGAGCCGCATCGGCCTTGGCCTTCGCCTTGGGTGCTGCCTTCTCCTTGGGAGTAGCCTTAGGCTTCGCTTTTGGGTTTGCATCCGGCGCAGCAGCAGTCGGATTTGGGGCAGGAGCTGAAGGTTTGCCGCCACCTGCAAAGTCTCTTGCATACTTCTCTCTAGCGGCCACATGCTTGTCCTCTCTGATTCTGGAGATGTGCCTTTCGATGACGTCCAATAGATAGCGATAGTTTCGTCTTTGGTCTCCTTCAATCCATGACTCGTACTGCTTGATGTCAAACATCATAAGACTCGAATTTCGAATCTTCTTGTATAGAGCATCACGAAGCCAATCATCAGGAGGTACATCATCCGGCATCATGTTTGATACCATCTCCATCCATTTCTCATAGAACACTTCCAGGTTTGAGTCACCGAGATACTTCATTGATACGATGTGCTCCATAGTGAAGGATGTCTCTCGTTGACCTGGGGTTCTGAAGTGCTCCAGGATCATAGCCAAGATTTCCCGTCCCATGACATAGGTTCCTCTTCGACTATGACTTTGTGTCCTCAATCTCAATTTGATCGCTACATGACGAGCAACATCACCGGCTTGGGCTATCACATTTGACAATGCAATTGACAACTTGGCGTCGATTGACTGATACCGTTGCCCTCCACTGTCATTCAATAGCTCGATGTCAGGATTTGGTCGAATAGCCGGTTGTAACCATGCTTCCCATGCGGCTTTGTCCCCATCATTTGCAGAAAGAACAACACTCTTAATGAGATCTGATTGCCAAACTCCAAGATTCTGTTGTTTAGGCCATGGGCTGACATAGACCTTGTCGGCCTCCCGTCTTGACATTCTTGGCACTTCTTCTGCAGTGTAAGCTGCTGTGGAGACATCATCTGCTGAATCACGTTGTGATCCTCGAACTGAAGGTAAACCTGGAGGTTCAGGAGGTGGTCCTGGACCGTTAGGCCCGAAAGGGTCAGGAGGTCCATCAGGGTCAGGCGGACCGCCCCATCCACTCGGTGGCTTGTAGTATTCCCTCTCAGTTCCATCAGCGATCTTGTTGTCCACCTCTTGCAGTAGATCAGTGATTCTTTTGCTTGATTGAGAAGGTTGTCGTTGAGGAGGTACAGCATGTTCACGATAGGAATGAGCCACATTTGTCTCATAGTTCAACTCCTTGTCGATCTGCGAAACCCAAGACTTCAGAATAGCGTTTTCACAGTTAGCCTCACTCACGTCATTCTCCAGTTTGTCGATGACTAGTCTTGATGCGAGATCGTAGTTGGGAATGCCTGCCGAATAGGGAAGTGTGTCAGGGCTGACCCTAGATACGGACGTTTCAGAATCCTTGAGACTCCTTTTCATTTCATCTACTTGACGTTTCATGTCCATAATCTCAGAATTCTTGATACTGATCTTTTCATCCCTATCCTGGATTTCCCCCATGAACATGCATGATCTCTCATATTGTTGAACACCACTAGCCAACTTCATTTTGCGCTCACTCTCTAGTTCAGATTTTAGAGTTCGGACTTCAGCATTGGTGAGGGACGACGCCCCTACATCCGCAACTTCAGCCAACCTTTCTTTTAACAACAAGTTTTCTTGTAAACATTCATGAACTTCATGATCTAGGTCCTGAACCCTGATTTGAGCGATTTTAGCTTGATTACGTAGATCTTCAACAAGCATCTCATCGGGGCCACGACCGTCGGTCGTAGAACCCTGAGTCAACGATCTTCGTAACTTCGTGTTCTGCAACTTGATCTCATCCTTCAATTCGCAGTTCATCTCCTGCTCGTTGGCATAGAGCTCCTCATAGTGCTCTGCCCTTGCGATTGAGTTTGCGCTAGCCTGTGATTCAAGCCTCAGGTGTGATATTGCTTCGGCCTCTTGGTTCCTGTATGATGCAATTCTTCTGACGGTATCGTGTTCAGTGTTTCGATGCTTCAGATCACTTTCCAATTTGGCCTGATTTGCCTCGAACACCTTCTTCCTAGATTCTCTAGTGATCTCATCAATACTGCTCTCATACAGCTCGGCCTGTTTGCGAGACTGAACCAAAGCTTCACTCAATAGCTGATTTCGCTCAGATAATTCATGAACTGCAATTGATTGTTGTTGGCTAATCACTTCAAGTTGATTACTAGAGAAGGATGCCATCTCAGATCGATTACGATATTCCATGATTGAGTTCTGGAAATCTGTTTGCATTTCTTGACCTTCATTGTATAGTCGATTGGCAATATCGGTGGTTAAGACATTGGTTTGATGAAGTTGTTGTAGTCTTGCCTCCGTATTACCCAGTAGTCCTTGAAGGTGATGTACTTCATCCTTGTACTCCTCCTGGATCTCCATACCACGTTGATGGATCCGTCGTGCACCATGTTCCATTAGTGCACCTCGGCGTTCAAGGTCTTGGATGCGTATTGTTGCACCTTCGTCTTCCTGAGATGCTACCATTAGTTCTGCTTGATATTCTGCAACCTCATTTGCGGAACATGACAATCTATTATTGAGTGCATTGACCTCATCAAATACATTCTGGTTGTGTTCCCGAAGATACTCAGTGAATCTGATCTCGATGTCATGAATCAGTTGATCCCTAGATGCAGCGTATGCTTCCATGTTGTTCAGCTGATTACGTAGGGATTGACATTGTGCCCGTAGTTCCTCTATCATGGCAATAGGTTCACTAGCCACAGAAGTATCCGTTGATCTCCTCTTAACACGACTATCCCCGGTCCTCTCACCAATTCGGTCGGTCACGGCCCTGGTGGATCTGTCCCTTGGAGTAGTACGCCCTCGAGATGGTCGATGCCCTTGGCGGACAACATCACTTCGAGCACTGTTTCGAGAAGATCTAGGTGTACTTTGGGTGGATATTCTTCGTCTGTTTGATGTGACTTGCCATCCGGACTGTGTAGTTCGGGTAGAGCGTATCCCGCCACTGTCTGCCGTGTCACCAGGGGAAGATTGATTGACCTCCTCGACCGGCATAGCAGCGTTCTCATTGAAGGTGAACTGCGTGGTGCGCGAATCTCCGCTGCCGCCTTGCATCTTTGCGACGATGAGCTGATTGGTCCTTTGCGTCCTCAATCAATTGCTCAGACGGCCCGGCTACCAGCACGCAGGTACCACTCTCCCGGCGAGAGAAGTGAGCCCTACGGCTGATAACCTGTGAACAAATTGATCCTTGTTCTGGATACCTTTTCAGTTGTGGTTCCCTATGTGCTGATAGTCGGAGCTGTCAAACCATGCAGCAGCGGAGCGCGTTATTTTGGCCTCGCAGTGGGTCTTGAGCCAAAATGGCGTCCCGTGCAAGTATGTACATATGCTCAACATATGTAACTACTGTGTTACTTCGTTCCCTTTAACATAATATATATAATATATATAATATATATATATATATAATATATTATATATATAGGGGGGCCCGAATCCACTTTGGGGGTTTACCCATTATTTCAGAGAAACCATAATGAAATTGGTTATATGGAAGTTTCCTAAAATGGGGGGTACCCCTAAATCATCCATTTTGACAAGATTTTCCCTTATAAACCATCCATTTTGGGGTATCCCCATTTATGGAAACCCCCATATGATATTCCCATCATATCCCATTGTTGCTGGTTTATACCCATAACCTTGTTACTTTCAATGAAACATATGTGGACGGGGCCCACCGCCATGGCCTCTCAACTTTGCGAGCTGGCTATGGGGAGACACCACCACCTGTTGCGGATGAACATCGTAAAAGTTGGGCAGTATTCAAAGTGATTTCTCATTCCAAATTTTAGAATGCCCATATTGAAAGAACTGGACAAAAAATACTTGTAGACATATTTTTTACAACGCGTCACGTCATCTGTTTGATAGAAGTCCCTACCAGCCCTAGCAACCTTAGCAATGCTGTGCCTGACACCCTTCATACTATTCCGACATCCTACCACACTCATAGAGGCATCAATGGACTAAACAGACTAATTAATGTTGAACAAAATTTCCTAATTTGTGAATTTTGTGCAAATTTGCGAAGCAAGGGCGGCTTTGGTAATGGTGATACCTTATGTTTATTGTTCACATGAAAATGGTCACTAAAAGCGGCATCCCACATTCTCAAGACACACCAAGCGTTCATAAATTGTTGGCCTACCAAATCCTATGATTTCCCATTCAAACATATATCCTATTATATGCCGGTACTGTATTTCCCCCCGTATACACCCGTAAAATGGTCGTTTTGTACCCATAGCTCAATCAGCGGCTACCGCTACTGTTTAAGCCGTTTTCAACCGGATCGTCCTTCAGGAAAAGGCTCACCTTGGTCACACTTTGAATGAGACCTCCACTTTGGAGAAATCGTAGGCAGCGCCATTCCTGCGTAAATGTGTCAAGGATCGGGAACAAAATCTGAAGTTTCACCAAAAATCATGATTATTCAACAACACATGAAGCAATATTTCTGGTGATGGATATCATGATCATTGTTTTTTTAACACAATTACTGTGTCCAAGAGTTGCTGATAGTATTTTATGATAACATACCAAATTTGCTTTGTTGGTTTGCTATAGTTATTTTCTGATGCTATATGATTATCATGATTGTGATATTTATCATTGTAAAAAAAACATTTCAGATTTGTCAATGTTAATCCCAATGGTTCGCATGGTATGCCATGATACAACCAGAAAACGTTTGTTTATTGTTGTTTTATAACCATGATTATTTTGTGTTGTTGTATGAACTACTAATATTGAGATGATTATTTCGTATTTTTACTACCAGTAGGACCGCACAAGGCGGTGGCGGAGGCTGCAAAGATAGGGAACTATAGGAGAGGTGAGTTGCTGTGATGCATGGAAGGCAGGGCGTTCCATCTATCTTTCTATCTGTCTATCTATCTGTCTATCAATCAGTCTATCTATCTGTCTATCAATCAGTCTATCTATCTACCTATCTATCCTATCCTATCCTATCCTATCCTATCCTATCCTATCTATCTCTCTCTCCCTGTCTGCCTAGCTATCTATCTACCTATCTGTGTATTTGTCTCTCTGTGGATTGGTCTATTTGCGTATCTGTCTATCTCCCCATCTGTCCATCTCCCCCCATCCCTGTATCTATCTTTGTCTCTGTCTCTCTATTTCTCTCTCTATCTCTCTACCTATCTATGGTCTAGCCACCTATCCCTTTATGTCTCTCTCTCTCTCTCTCCCCTTCTCTCTCTCTCTCTACCTCTATGTCTTTCTGCATTCATCAATCAATCTATCTGCCTACCTCGCTTTCCATCTATCTCTCTCTCTCTCTATCTATCTATCTATCTGTCTATCTGTCTATCCATCCACCCATCTATCTATGAATCTTTCTATCTGTCTGTCTGTCTGTCTATCTACCTGAAAGGAAGCATGGGTTCATGGGTTAATGGGTTCATTGCATTTTGTCTAAGATGGTCGCCAGTTGAAGTCCTCGCCTTCCTAGTTTCTGGCGTCGCAACCACATGCCCAATGCAATTTGTGGACAATTCCGTAAGAACCTGGCTTAAAACCTCATCTTGTCGTTTCACAACTCTGTTTTAGCTCGATTTTCATTTTTTTGTGGGGACTTGAGAGCCCCCTTGAAATCCAATGTCTGGGGTCCTGTGCTGTCTGCCGCTGCTGTTGTTGGTAGCTTCTTGGCAGAGACTGGCGCGTGTCCGCCAAGAGGTGACTCGCCCTTGAGGGCGAGAACCGCTCTTTCAGAGCTCTGCGCACTTTCGCCTCGTTCCCCTTGTAGAGGACATGAAGGCGACACGCCAAGAGCTGCGCAGAGCCGACCATGGCTGCAGTTTCAGTCTGGTGCGGTCTGGCTTGGCGGGTTTTTCTTTGTGCTCTCTGCGGCTGCGGTTTTCGGCCTCGTACCAATGCGTTTTGTAACTTGTCCACTCGTTCATCTGCTTTGGGCTCTGCACCCGTCGCTTTAGCGAGTCTACTTTTTGACCCTCCGGAGCCTCAAAACATTGGAAAAGAACTCCTTCGTGACTTTTCTACCTTTTCGCTCATCTTTCATAGAATGGTTAGGGGGGGAGGAGTTGGCCGTAGGCAAGTGTTGAGAAAATGGCTTTGAGGTACGGTTGAGGTATGGCTGAGGTACAGTTGAGTCAGTGATATACGTTTGAGTATCAGTTGAGTATGCGTTGAGTATACGTTGAGTACCAGTTAAGCCGCAGCTGAGTGTGGGCTGAGCCTACGCTGAGCCTCAGTTGAGGTTCGGTTTTTTTCTTTGAGTTACGGTTGAGGTTTTTTACGGTTTGAGGTCCGGTTGAGGGAAGAGTGCTTACTCAAAACCACCTCGATCTATCGTTTTTATGGTTTGAGTAGGATTTGAGTGGATTTTGAGTAGGATTTGAGTGGATTTTGAGTAGGATTTGAGCGGATTTTGAGTGGATTTTGAGTGGATTTTGAGTGGATTTTGAGTGAAAATAGCAACTCAGATCCTATTCAAACGGACCTCGACAGTTGCCCCCGGTCCACAGACCCCCCCCCTTATGCCCCTATGAACTAATTTTTATATACCGTGACTCTTTCTCTTCTGATTCTTTCTTTCTCTTCTTTGGCTGCTCTCACGACTGTTGCTGCATCTGTCCATAAGCCGGAAGTTTAACTTCTAAACTTCCTTCGGCTATTTTAATTATTAATATTGTTATCATGATGATGATAACATAATTTCACACTATTTCACACTACTTATTTCTCACTATCATCAGTTGATGCACACTACTATTAGTTATTTTGTGGATGCTGATGTATGAGCCATCATCACCATCATCATCATCAGCACCATCACTCGTTCTATTGTTGATATTTATAGATTACTTTTCCCAAAGACTAACTATACTATTCCCATCACCACTCAACTTTTGGTGCTGTGATTCAGACATTGTCGGATCTTCGAAAACGGCCCCCATGGATTTCGAAAACTTCTTTTGCTCCTCAAAGGAGCCCATGGGAGATCCCGGCGCATCGCGTTCGGAGGCCGCGTGGGAAGTGACCTGGCCGCATAAAAAATGGTGATGGCTTGGGGGTCCCACATGAGAGTAGATATGGTATATCAATGTGTATGTGGTTAAGCAAAACAAATTGCTTACTGTTCATGAGATTGAAATCAAGTTAGACTAGATGAGATTGGATAGATAGATAGACAGATAGATAGATAGACAGATAGATAGATAAACAGATACATGGGAATTAATTTGTGTTGACATACAGAAACAGGTATACAATCCACAAGCATTGCTGCTTTACCGTATAACAATGTGTGCATCAACAAGTGGGTATTTGCTTAAAAAAATGAGTTTTTGTCAACAAGACTGGGTGATTCATCAAGAGAAGGCCATACAAAATGTATATCAGTATATACATAAGTGGATATTTATACAATCCAATCCCCCAAACTAATAGATGTGTATCTCAGCTGGCATGTTGTTGATAACCATAATCTGACCCATCTTCACATGGTATAATCGGATCATCGCACGGGTTTTCCCCTTGGCTTTTCAACCACTTCCGGATGCTCGGGGGCCTGCAACGTGCCACCGTTGTCCAATGGCAATTCCAAGACCAACTTAGTAGGGCGAGATATGGGGACTTTTCCACACCATATTTGGGCCAAGCCAATAATGCTTCAGACATGAGGCAAAAATTCCATTTTGAACATCGGTTTCAACACACATGTGTGAAACATGTCAAATAGAACCTTGACAACAAACTCAAGCCGCGTCATGGCATGTCATAGTCACATGATGTCACACATATGTTGAAGCTTCCACACATTTCCGAAGGGTTTCTAAAACTGTCCCTCAGTGGTTGGCCAAGCAACTCGTTATCCTCCTAAACCAATATATCAACATATGTTCCCAACATCTCATCAGTAGTCAATAGATGAGATTCAAAAAGCGAACTGCGAGCCACCGGCTGGTTGATTCTTGACTCTTGATCTTGACATCAAGTCCAAAAAAGAGTTGAAATCACCTTGAAGACACTTCAACGATGTCAAATACCCTTGTCATCCTTCAACAGATCACAGACGTCCCACGCATAGTAGAGGCCTGTAGGATATCTGTCAAAGGACTATGTAACGATCAATGGCCCACTATGGCACCCTTGAAGGTAGTCAACCACAAGTACAGCAAAATAAATCAGCAACACACCAAGCCTTACCGTGCACAAACAATTCACTCAGAGACATTCCAAAATAGACCCCACCCACTGCTTGGCTACCACACGGTCCCAGGGGCAAAGTACCTGAAGCGGAGTAATCAAGCAATCCTCGAGTCACAAAAATCTCATCTTGAGATGATCTTGTAAGGAAAACCTGTTCACAAACCACAGTTTGAGGACATACTATGACACGTTTGTTTGCTGGATTCGTGCAATCCAACAACCCAGGCGAACATAGGCGAATGATCATCTCCTGCACATGGGCTGCACCTTTTTGCACATGATCTCAAAATTCCTCTAACTAAATGTATGGGCAAACATATTGGGAAAACATACGCCTAAATGATTAAATTGAAATTCAAAGTACTGCCAAAAACGGTCCAACATACTCCGGTATTTCGAATATAATATATATTTAATATTTCGTATATTATAGTATATTATAATACATCGATATGCATATATTGATAGCAATTGGGGTTCTCCCATCAACATCCATTTGTCATTTGCCTGTACAACCTGTAGGCAAAGGTATTCAACGAGAACACGACTTCAGGATCTCCATACGCCTCCTTCCTCTGAAAGTGGCTATTTCCTTACAATGCTTCGCGTACCATGCTTGAACAGTACCACCTCAACACGACTTGTTGAAAATTGAAGACCATCAAACCATAGCTTTTGGACATCAGTAGCATCCTGTTTTTGGGTACGGGACTTGAACATCGGCTGGTATCCCCATGTTCGGTTCTAGAATCCCATCACCTACTAAACATCCGGACACCGTGGTTTCTTGGGGGATTCAAACATATTTACCATATTTGACCTGGGGATGTGAAAAATCTGGGGATGGGGATTGCCGGCAGTTTCTTTGATCTCTTCTTTGATCTCCGTCTTTCATGGTTCCAGCAGTTCAAACCTGATGGATCACCAAACCAAGCGCACTCGTTGATGAGCTCCTGCCGTCCGGGATCTGCTTGGTTCGCGGAGCCATTGGCCCGACGATACTGCGATGGCGTGGCGGAGGATGGTTGGCATGTCCCGTTGCAACGGTTGATGGGGTTCTATGATATCATACAATTGGAACCATGTATTTTGTTCTGTTTGTAATTCAAAACATAGATTATTCATTGTTGTTTTCTCTCTATCATATCTTTGGACTATCATAAGCATTGTTTGAAAAATATGGTGTTACGATGTGCTACGACTAGTATTGTACATTATCATATGATTATATAGATGTCTTGGCTGACACGACTGTTGCTGTTACTATCACGATCATAAAAACATCATTGTCTTTATTCTTTATGATTTATGACAGGCAAATTCAACGTTGTGGACTATTCATCCATAAAAAGAGATGGTCATCGCAAGATCTGCGGATACTAAAGAACCGCGCATGTTACAATCAACGAGAAGGGAATAGAACCACAACAGTTTGCATCCGTGGCCAAACTGAGATACCCTGCACCAAGCAACAATTTGCTGGCAAGTGTATCTCCATTTATATCCATATATAGCAAACATGTTGTACTATATCTATTTATCTATTTATATCTATTTATATATATATATATATATAAATGAGTTAATGTGTAAAAATTAGGTCACGCCGTGTCGGGTGGCCTGTGGGCGGCGGCGTCAGCGTCACTTTCCACATTCAAACACGCCACTTGCAAAGCTTTCCCAGCTCCTTGGACATTTGTGCCGGTGTGAACTTTGCGTTCACCTTTTTATTGCGACGCCAGAGCCACTAAAACGTCTTTTCCTTCTTGTTCTTACGTGATGTCAACATAGCATCACGTTGCATCATCAACGTCTCTAGTTGGTGGAACCTGCGTTGACAACGTAGTATCAAGGACGTGGTCGTCAGGACGTTAATATCCCACCCCACCCCATGCGTTGACAAAGTAATATCAAGGACGTGGTCGTCAGGACGTTAATATCCCACCCCACCCCACACCACCCCACCCCAACGTGGTGTCCACCTAGCATCACGTTGCATCATCAACGTCTTCATAGTTGGTGCAACATGCGTTGACAACGTAGTATCAAGGACGTCGTCGTCAGGACGTTAATATCCCACCCCACCCCACCTCACCCCCACCCCAACGTGCTGTCAACCTAGCATCACGTTGCATCATCAACGTCTTCCTAGTTGGTGGAACGCGCGTTGACAACGTAATATCAAGGACGTGGTCGTCAGGACGTCAATATCCCACCCCACCCCACCCCACCCCATATCTATACAAAGCGCAAAAATGAACAAAAACGCACAGGCCACCTGGCACAGCGTTAGCAACTAGGTTGACAAAGTAGTATCAAGGACGTGGTCGTCAGGACGCTAATATCCCACCCCACCCCGCCCCACCCCAACGTGCTGTCAACCTAGCATCACGTTGCATCAGCAACGTCTTCCTGGTTGGTGGAATATGCATTGACAACGTAGTATCAAGGACGTGGTCATCAGGAAGTTAATATCCCACCCCACCCCACCCCATATCTATACAAAACGCAAAAATGAACAAAAACGCACAGGCCACCTGGCACGGCGTTAAGTTACCAACTACCCATCCAGGGTTACCCGAGAGATTACATGACCAGCTCCTGATATCGCTACGTCACTTTCTCTTATTGTTACACCATCGCTACTTTGGTCAGCTCCGGGATCTGAATACCAATGGACTCACAGAATTTGGATCACATCCTCTTTGGGCCACTCGATGTAAGTAATCCGTAAGTTTGGGGCTATCCGAGGTGACCCGTTGACCCATGCAGTAGTAAGTTGAATCATTGCAAAAAGTATCCTTTTCCTGACAAAGGAGTATATATATATATATATGATATAAATATTTGTATAGAATATAAGCTGGTACGAGAAAGCACGGCGAAGGTTTTTGCTCGCCGCTCGCCCATGAACACTATTGAACATCTGCTTTTTGCAGATCCGCGGTTTTTGGGAGACTGCTGAGTATCTGCAACTGCACCCCGACTCACAAAAAGTGCTGGTATTTAACAAGACTAATAGAGTCAGGGGTTCTTCTAGTATGAATGTCACATCATTTCACTATGCGGTAGTGTGACTATCAAATCAATCTCATCACCAAAGCATGCTTAGCTGGGCCTTAGTGAGCCTTAGTGGGATAATTAACTGGTTATTAACCCCTGCCCTACCATGACCAGGTATACAATGGGCTATCATCCACTTCCGACCATAAGCTACCCATCTAAGTAGCCGAGTTCGTGTGGAGGCGCTCAAATGCAACCTCATTGAAAGGCTGGGCAGTGGCCATTTGGCCCAACGCCAGCCGGCTTGGCCGAGACCCATTTCGCAGCATCAGTGGGCCGATAGTGGCCGCGTGAATGTATGTCGGCCTTTGCGGGGGTGTCTGCCAAGGGTTTCCCACGAACCAAATGGCTGGCACCAAGTAGCTAAAAAATAAAGCATCCACTCCGTCAGGTCCTAGAAGGACCTATAAAAGAATGATATCAATATATCTAGCGTTTCACCCTCCAAGTACCTATAGAACAAGGTTGTAATATACCCCTTAAATTGGGGACGTTTACGAATTTTTAGGGGTACTGGGGCGTTCAGAGTTTTTATATCTATATTATAATATACATAAGTATGCACAGATATATTTGCTGGATGACAAGGAAATCTCAGGTAATCTCCCATAAATTGTTTCTTTGGTTATGACAGGGGAAACTGCAGCGCGCTCAGCTGCAGCTAGGTTTTTCTTGAGACGGTTGGTATGGCCCTTGAGCCATAACAGTAGATCCAAGTAGCTTCACAGCTGCTGGAGCCAAATAAAATAGTTATATATAGATATAATTCATGTTGGATGGACAATTGTAAAGCGCTTGCAATAGCTTGCCAGCCCCTATTGATTTTAGATTATATAGGCCTTATTGATTTTAAATTACAAACATCAATCTTGGTCTAGAGCATCTGCAATAGTTGTGCTGCATTCGCAATAGCTGCACATAATTTTCAGAAAATTCCCAAATTATCAGATTTTTCAATACTAAATTGTCAAAGGGCTAATTGAGATTTAGTATGGATGCAGGATTTTTTATTACCTTCTTCCTCAGTGTTTTTAATTGTGAATTAATGGTTTTTAATTGTGATTGCATGCTTTTCAAAAGCAAAAAACAAAGCAAACCTTTACCAAATCAAAAATTTTACCTTGTTCAAACAAAATGTTTTCTTTATTAAAATCCTTTAAACAATTGCACAAAACAGATCCACAAAGGGTACCCCCTTGCAGGTCCTTGCCTTTGCAATTAAAAATTGGAATTAGCACTTGCAATAAAAAAACAACCTTTCTGGCTCTAGCTGTATTTTTTTCCCTTCTTCCTTAGTGCTTTTAATTGTGGCTGAATGGTTTTCAATTGTGATTGCATACTTTCCAAAAGCAGAAAACAAGCAAACCTTTACCAAATCAAAAACTTTACCTTGTTCAAAAGAGCTGTTTTCTTTATTAAAATCCGTTTAAACAATTGCAAAGAACAGGTCCACAAAGGGTACCCCCTTGCAGGTCCTTGCCTTTGCAATTAAAAATTGGAATTGGCACTTGCAATAAAAAAAACTTTCTGGCTCAGCTGTTTTTTCCCCCTTCTTCCTTAGTGTTTTTAATTGTGGTTGAATTGTTTTTAATTGTGATTGCATGTTTTTCAAAAGAAAAAAACAAAGAACACCTTTACCAAATCAAACACTTTACCTTGTTCAAAAAAAATGTCTTCTTTATTAAAACCCTTTTAAATAATTGCACAAAACAGGTCCACAAACGGTACCCCCTTGCAGGTCCTTGCGTTTGCAATTACAACTTGGAATTAGCACTTGCAATAAAAAAAAAACAACCTTTCCGGCTCAGCTGTATTTGTTTCCCTTCTTCCTTTGTGTTTTTAATTGTGGCTGAATTGTTTTTAATTGTGATTTTTTAGTATGGATGTCGAAACCTTACAGAAGCCTTGGGGAAGAGTAGGGATTTTCGATTTACTATTGCAAAGCAAACCCCCCCCCAAAAAAATAGGGGGGCTCCCCTTTACTCTTTACCATTGTCGATCCAACATTACTGTATGTATATATATATATTATGGTGTATAAGTTACGTTTCTATCGTTTTGGTGATTAATGGGGATTACTGTAAAGAAGAAAAACATTGATGAAACCAATTTAACACACTGTTAGCCACTCCCTTGCAACTTGGTGCCGCCTGGAACGGGGGATCCGAAGTTGTATAGTATGTATTTGACCATGGCACGTTTCAATCTTAATATGATAGCTACAAACAATGGTACCAACCGAGGGTAAAATGGATTTACAAACATGTGTTTGCCTGGAAAACAAAACTGAGAACAGGACTTGCCGCCATGCCACCAAATGCTGGGGCCTGGAAGGGATTGCCATCGTCTGGAAACATGAGATGAAAATACTATGGTTGGTGCTGTTGAAACTTCAAATATGTATGATTACAATATATAATACAGTATGAACAAATATGATCCAATATGTCCATACATCTAGACATGCATCCATTACAATAATATATATATATGACATATGATTACTCTACATTACATACATCTTGCTCTGTCTCAAGAGGCCCTGCCCGCCTGAAAAACGAGCCACAGCGGAAACGCTACATGAATGGTTCGTTCGAAAAATGCCAAAACGCCAGAAACTGCTTGAAAGGCAGGGCCCTCCGTTGGGTGCATCTGATGTTTACCAGGCTGGCCTTGTCGGTTGCTTGTCGTTTTGTTTCAGCTCATTGTATCTGATTGTATCTGATCATCAGTGTAGTTGATACCATGACGGTTGATTTAGACATAGCATACAAGAGCGGCCAAACGTACATAGTTTATTGGGATTCATGGGCATTTTTCATGGGGATCTTCAACTTGCTGTAACGCCATTCACATCATGACCTTGCAGCTGACTTTCGTTTACAAAGTCTGGAAGTGCAAGAGTTGTATGTCTGCCTTGGGAACCACCAACAATCTGCTCTTGGATGCTAAATTTTTAATGCTGTAACAAATGCCACTATCTTCTGGTAGTTTAACCGTTTGCCGTGAGATACATTTTTCAACATGTAAACATAAATCACCTATAAATTAAATATGGGCCACTTTTCATAGCAAACTGTAACAACATACCAAAGGGTATGTACTCCAATTGTCAACTCAATATGTTTTCCATTATTGTCATGTTCCCATCATTAACCATGATCAAAACCAAAGAGTAATGCCATTGCGCCATGTCTTTGATTTGGTTGAAGCCGCAACACCTGCACTGGACATTCGCAAGTCGCAAGTCTCGAGGTTTTAGCATATCTTAACATATAGGCATATAGGGGATTTTTCCAGAAACAGCACAGACACACACTGATATACAAATATGTATACATATATATATATATAAATACAAATAAAATCATATTAGCGCATATACCTCAGTTACTGGCACTTTCCTTCACACTTCGTACACCAACAAAAACAACAGGACAAGGCCAGGTTTTGAGCCCAAATATCATCGTGCTGTGTCTATATCCCATGAGACATCCCAGCATATTTATTTTATATATATATATTTATAACTAAATCAAAATATCCCTACATATCCCTACATACATGCCAATATATCCCTATAATTCCCTATATATGCATGATATAATCGTATCATATCGTATCATGGTTGGTCCTATCCCGTGCAAGGAGACGGCACCACGAACCAGGCGGCTATGGCTCCAAGGGCCGGCACAGCCAACAACTCACCCACAGCCTGGCTGTGATTTTTCGCGGCTCATTAATGAAGGTGTCATGGATGGTTTCCATATATGGGGGAATTATGGCAAAATGGATGGTTTATAATGGACAATTCAATAAACATGAATGATTTTGGGAAACCCGGGAAACCCGCATTTAGGACACGTCCATATACTGACTGAGATGCACATCCAAGCAACAGCCACTAATCATCACCTAATCAGGGTTTATTAACCAAGATTGGTTTATGAACAAGGTTTATTCACCATCATTGTTCACAATCACTAAACTGGGTTTATTATAGCCGATGTTATTCGGGGCAATAACAAAACCCATATTTGTTCATAGGGAATACCATCCCAACACATGACCCTAGACTGTCTGGGTTTATTGATTAAAATATCACCAATCATTAAGACGGGCTTATCAACCAATATCATTTGGAGTAAACCCATCTGATCCCGAGACAAGTAAAATCAAAATCAGGGTTACTGGATGAATCATGAAATTAAACACCGGAAATTTTGGGTCACCTGAGGAGGTTTCCCTTACAGTCAGAACCAACATTTTTAGCGACTTTGGGGCCGTGATTTTCCCATATTCTTTCAAATACATCATTCCAAATAATTCGGGATTCGACAAATTAGATCAAATTAAATTAGCAAAAATCATGAACACATCGACTGGCAAATTGTTTATAAGACTTGTAAGCAATATATTACATCCCCCAACTGTGATCAGACATATCATAGGGCACTTATCCAGCGATTCGCAAAAGGACAGTTCCTGACCAGCTCTCCAGGTGTCTGAATTCCCTGGCCTGAGGAAAGATTTGGAAATGGGTCAACATGTTGGTGTCTTCCATCAAGTAAACCACAGTAATACTACTAATACTGACCAGGTCTGAAATTCTGCCTGTCAATCTTTTGCTTGCAAGTTGCAAGTGATACCGGTGATACCTTGATACCCCTGGAAATTCCCCAGCCTTGAAAATAAGATTTACAAAAACTAACCTTCCCTATCCATTGCTTTATCCTGTATGATTATGGGATACCCCAATTATATCCCCTAAATTTACATATGTTTGCCATGGCGCCGCAATTTGATGGGGTCTCGGTTACAGTAGATGATTTTCCGGACGCAAACATGAACAAATCAAATCTGAGCGCAGAAGTTTGGAGGATTTGTGCACCTCGATAGAAAGGAGGCGTGTTACAAGTCCATCTGAACATACTTTTTACATCTGTTTACCCCAATTTCAATTAATTATTTAGAATTACCCTCTGGTAATTTAACATAGCTATTGAAAATGGCCATTTATAGTGAGTTTTCCCATGAAAAATTGTGATTTTCCATAGCTATGTTAGTTTACCAGAGGGTATCTGGATTTTCACCCTGAAAATTGCATCAATATCCTCAATTTGTGGCCCATTCCCTGTGAACAATGGGGGAGCCACGGCCATGCAATCTCAGCCAGACAGACATAGGACATTTCAGCCAAGGCAAACCGTGATGCACGGCGACCATGACAGGGTTTGGAGGCACGCCCTGACCGCAACGGCATGGCTGTTGCTGCCGCTACAGGCTCGGAAAAATGATACGGGGAGCGGGTCAAATTTTGCGGGATTTTATTGATTTAACTATCTAAAATGGGATGTAGCGAGCAAAAGACTGCAGATGAAGGGAATTCCTGAATTTATCTCGGGTAATCAAACGTGACATATATCCCCATATCATGGGTGTAGCCGGTCAAGCCGGTCAAGCCTTTAATTCTGGGCTTATCTACTTGTTGTATCTCTGTATCACATAGCCCCACCGAAGCTGGATTCTGGCATCTTAATACTTTCTTTTCGTCAAAACATGTCAAAAAAAAAGCCTTTTTGGTTTGCTTGTATAGCCCTTTTGTACATCTATGTTTCTACATTTTTGTTTTAGCCAGTTTCTACAGCGATAAGCTCAACATTTAACTGGCCCAAAAACCCTCAGTGAAATTCATTTAATTAAGTCATAGATCCCCAAAAAACTAACAGTTAAGTATAGTTACGTCATAGATTCTCATAGATAGCCTTAGATTACTATTAACCATTATTAACCAGGTATATTAACTACAATGATCCATCATTTTTATTCATTTTTCAGAGGGGTAGGTATACCACCAACCAGTGATATACCATTGTAGATTACCAACGGTACCATTTCAATTCTGAAGGTTTCCTCCCAGATCTCCTGAATCTCCGAGGCGACCCATAGAGAGAACGGAGATCGTCCCGTGCGATGCGAAAGTCACCCGGGGCGTGAGCCAAGCCTCGGTAACCACGGTGGATGTAGGGGATGGAACTACACATAATAGATGGTATACGTATAATGTGTATATATATATATAATTATAATAAATGATAAATAATAAATAATAAAGAATACAGAATAATAATAAACAAAATAATAAAATGTATAAGTACGTATAATTAAACACGACAAATGATATATTACATGATGGATGATGGATGATGGATGATGATTGTGGTGATATTATATACAGTGTATATATATATATCCAGTCCAAGTTACAAAATACAATACTGAAAGAAATGGGGAAGGAAAACCACAGGTTCCAACCAAATTTGACATATCCAATCATATCTACATTTTTATGAAAAAATGCTGCCGCATATGGATATATAAACTCAAACATTATACATCATGATACCATTTTGGAGGATTTTGAGTCCTCCACTTGTGGACTTCAATGAACTGCTTTCAGGTACAGTGTTCCATGTGGCACCTGGTGGCACCGGAAGATGGTCACAGGTGGCACCGTGAATTGATGCCATCAAGGCACTGTGCTGACGCCGGATGGTTGTGCAAGACCTGCGAGTCGGCGAGTCATCAATACGGACAGCTTAAATTTACGAGTGACACAGTGACAACAGTAACAATGTACTGTAAATACTGTTACAATACTGTAAATACTGTTACTGTTACAACATTGTATATCAATGTATATCAAACATAAAACAACAGTAACATCAAGTATTTGTAAATACTCTGAAAATTCTCGAGTCATGGTGTGCCTGCCTTGTGAAGCAGCCCAACTCGCTGCGGAAACAGCAACCCATGAAGCGCGCCTTGCAGTGGTGATTGCGCCAAACTGTGAAATAACTAGGGTCTTATGGTGGATAAGTCAACTGGGATTAAGACTAAAAACGTTGAAAAACAACACCATGTAGGTCCTTTAAGTTGACATCTTGCCTATGGCCTTGACCCTCCCTTTACCCACTCAATTATTTCAGATTCTGCTAAATGTTGATCTAAAAAGTGCCATGAATATTTTTGTCTGTCAGAAATTGGGACCCCAAAATCTGATAGTCTATTCTCATATATATATATTACATTATATTACAGTATATTATAATTATATATATAATATATTCAAATGTAATTTTCCAGATTTTCCGTGACCAGAAATCTGGGGCATTTTTCCCAGATATGGGATCCAGCCTTCGGCCTCGGCTTTCAGATGGTGCCATGTCTGCCCTGCCCCTCCAAGATGTGAACGTAACCATGTGACATTCGGATGCCTTCGGGTCATCTTCCGATTTCGGATGATTTATGATGATTTCGGATCATATTCCGATGATTTTTGGAAAATCGGATGATTTCATGATGATTTCGGATCATCTTCCGATTTTTGGAAAACACGTTAACAGTTTTAGAGGACACAATGTCGGACATGTACGAAGCAAATGGATCCAAATGGCTCGCCAAATGGCTCGAGCCAAGAAGCTGCTAATCCACAAAATCCTTCGCTGGGCATATCATTTTTCATTCATTTCCATTCTATATCCACCATACGTTTCACCATTTGTAGCAAAACAATGCAAAACATGTCAGTCCTCAACCAATCCAAGACAATCCAAGGTTCTTGGAATGTTTTGTTTCATGGTCAGAGGCTTAATACCAATTGCGATGCTGAAGTTGAAGGTCTAGGAGGCCATTTCAGCAAAAGTCACCGCTTTTCCTGCACGTCAACTGAGAGTGTCTCTAAGCAGGTATGGTTCAAAACGGATGCCAGTCACGGCACCAACAAAACATCTTGTAGGTTTCGAACTGACCCATCCTGTTTACTGTTTTGGTGGTTACATCCCATCTTAGGTGAATGCTTCGAATTCTGGGTTCTTAATCATCCATTGCTTGCAGGCAGTATCATTTTTGAGCCACACCCGAATGTGTGCCTAAGCAGGAACAGCATTCGATGTTCCTATGCCAGTTGCAGCTCTCTGAAGCTTCACTGGGTAACTAGAATGGATTTAATCCAAGATGATCAAAACCCGCAGATAAAGCCCGCGGACCAATGAGAATATCAATGGATATCAACGGGGATATAGCAAACCCCAAATGGTCTTGTAACTGAAACTATTGTGATTCTTTTAACATCTCTGATTCTCACAATTCAACAATCAGGGTTCCAATCATCCAAACACTTTTTGGTAATTTTGGATAGAAGAAAAAGAAAACAAACAATGGGCAGCTGTTAAACGACGGGATTCCATTGGCAGTTTGTAGGATCCCCACAGCTTCCCTGTGATTGCACGAGACTGTCTTGTATACACTATCTTATGTATTAAATAAGTCGTTGTGCATGTGTATGTCACATATGCATAGATATTACATATGGACCCCCAAGAACATAGACAAGTAAAATCCGGCTATGTAGTAGATTTTATTTCACCTTTTTTTTTCTATCCTTTTCTATCTTCGGGGTTAAAAACACAACACACTGGCCCCGGCCACGGCTGGTCCACGGCTGGTCCACGGCTGGTCCACGGCTGGTCCACGGCTGGTCCCGGCGGACTACTTAGGTCCCAGGATCTCGGCCAAACGCTCAATACATTGCCGTGACATCTTATGCCTGAGGCGCATAAAACGATGGAATCTGCTGTGAGAAATCTGTTTTTTCAAATATGGTATCGTATACAGAAATATATATATATAGTAGATATAATTTAAGATAGAATTTAGGTGTATATATATAGAGAGAGAAAATCAGTGTATATAATCAATTATAGATTTATATGCACACGTATTATATGTTTGCATCATATGCATTTTACTGTATGTTGGTTTTGGTTTATGATGCAACTCCATGTGGTGAATGTTGTAGTGGTTTTGCCATGGTAGGAATGCGAAATTCATCTACCATCGACAAAACATACAAACATGACTGGATATGAGTGGTATTCTACAGGTTGATCAATGGGGATTTCTATAGCATCCTATAGTGCTTGGAGATTTGGGTTGGTTCAAGCAAACAGAACATATGATTGATCACGTGGGAGGGATTCCAAACCATACCATCTCCCCAACTGGCACGGGCTCTGAGAAATAGACTATTTTTTGATGGAAGTGGTCCTGCAACCCCATAATTTGGCACGGTCTATGATTCTATGCTAGTTGGGCGGACGGTATTCTCCAGTCTTTAAACAGACTTCCACATGACACTGGACCATCTCTTCAATGCCTTCATCATCATAATAATAATCGTCTTCATCATCATCATTTTCATCTTCATTATATATTATCACCATATGTATATATATATATATATATATATACATATACATTCGAAGATCCCAAGTTTTTCGCCGTCACATGCCATGACGCTCTTCAGGGTGTTGTTCTGCACGTTTGCCAATTAGAAACACGTGCCTGGGAGCCGCAGGAGGTCACGATTGTCTTCCAAGTCTTGAGACAATTACTGAAGAGTAACAGGGATGAACTAATTCCTGTAAGGTTACGGTTAGAAAGACCACTTAAATGAGGTTATATATACGTATATATAATATATATATATAACCTGCTATGACTGTGACGGGCTACAACTGTATGTTGAAGCTTAGTACATTCTGGCCTGGGCGGGTTCAACCCCTGAAAAGAATAGATTAACAATTAAGACATCTTGTGACCACAAACAAAAACGCCTTTTGATATTCTCCAAATTTCAAGTAAAACATTTCTGACTTGGCTGTCATGCCAGCCAGGACCGAATCAATCAGATAACAAGATCATTTCACTGGGTTGGTTCAAAGGAGAATATGGGTGTTCCATGGTGTTCCTGTAACTTCCCTTCAAACCAATTTGCCACGATTGAGATTGAACGATCTTTGCTTATTCGGTCACTGCAGAGACTGAATTGCGTGCTCGACTTCTGAGTGTGATCGAAACTTGGATACCTACAAAATCCATGGTCATTCCTTCCTCTTCTATTCTAGCTGGATCTGTTTGGGGTATCCTCTATTTTTGCCTATTTTTGCATGTTGGTCTTCACCAATTTTTTGGTGTTTTCGTCATGGTGTCTCCAGTGTCTCCCGGCCGCTGCCATGGCCACTTGTGGCCACGACACATATTGCGACCGACGGGTCGGTGGTGGGCATAGGCGAGGATCCGGCGCCAAGGGATTGAGACCAGTCCATCATAAATTTCCTCAGCACCATGGGACCAGATTATGGGACCAGATTATGGGACCACATTGGGACCAGATCCGGAAAATGCCCATATTTTTTCATCACAGCAGAATCTCATCCGAAAAAAAAATACACCCCCAAGGTCCGAAATATGTGGTTTCATCTCCTAACCCTGGGTTTCTCGGGTGTGTCTAAAATATTAGCGGGAAGGCCGGGAAGGGATACTTTCGGGTCATGATTGGGGGAAAATGATGGTAAGTCTTCCAGAAACAACGTACCCTCTGGTAAACGTTTACATAACTATATGGAAAATCACCATATGGGAAAATCAACGTATATAAATGGCCATTTTCAATAGCTATGTTAGTCATTACCAGAGGGTAAAGCCGGGTAAAGCATTTGGGAATGGAACACCTGCCAAAACCTGGTGCCGTTGGTGGACGCAGGAAGCGTTTTCCCAGGGTTTCAGCATTAATCTTGAACTGACCTGGGACCCTCCAAGTATACCCCCCAAAAAATGGTAACGTCCGAAATCAAAATGAGTATTTGTTCACATTTGTCTAGGTACTTGTAGGGTATAGCGAGAATGAATCATGAGTCGCATGAGAATTGCAAGTCCTGCGGCTTGGTTTTGATGTATTTTGGGAATGAATTACACGTTTCTGTGATATCCAGCAAGCGTCTTCCGGATATCTGCACTTCAAGTCCTGCAAACCATTGGCCATCCGCAAAGTTTGTGAGGAAAAAAAAGGCCCTCCAAGACTGACTGATTTGGACATGAAAAACTCTGGCTATCGTTCCGAATCAGAAAAAAACTTTTAGTATCCTTTAGTCTGGTATGCGCACTCCTGTTTTTCTCGTTGACAAAGACCTCTCGCATGCTTCTCAGATCATTCTGGCACTTGTACTTGTTCCCCGGAGTGTATATATATATATTTATCATACGTATCCAAGTGTGTTCCCACAACAAACAAATGAAGCAACTCTTTGAATGACTTGACCAGGAAACACCCGCAAACATTTTGAAAAAAAAACAAATTCTGGACCCAAGTAAACACGCAGAAAATGGGTTTGTCTGCGAATAGGGTATTCCCAATTCCAATTGGCTGCAATTGGGAGATATGCCAACCATTTTCAGACGGACCCATCATATATTGTTGGCTGATATTTATCCCCATGAAATATCCCAAACTACCCGCATATATAAATGCTGCTACTGAGGTAAACCCAATAACAAACCATCGCGAATTGGGGTTTATGAAATTGGCTATACCCCTGTGACTGGGATGATGCATTCAATATGCCCTTTATGGTCTTTTATGGTTGGTTACTGGGATTGTTTATGGCATTGGCGTTACTTCATTATTGACGCAAACTCATCATATACAGTATGTTTGGGTAGTTTTATTGATTTTTTTTCCAATTACCATCAGCTATCCAATGAACATCAATGAACCAGATTGCTGATTGTTGAAACAAACTAAACAAACGCAACATATCCAATCACTTTTCCCAACAAAACCACATCAGTCAATTGTAATTGTGCTATGAATTGTGCTATTTGTTAGTTGGTTGTGCTCCATGATATCCATGATGAATTCCCATTCCCCAACACGAAACCGCAATGGAACATATTGGGAATCATTAGCTTTAATTATCCACGTTTATTTTTTTACTACTAAAATATCCATGGTTGGATCAGGTCTAATTAGTTATATCCCCACTAGTTTCCAATTACCATTATAGTTTATATTCCCATGAGTTTCCATTCTGAGTTATATCGTGTTACATACCCATTAGTTATCTTCCCATTAGTTTCCAATGAACTACCCTCTGGTACTTTGACATACCTATGAAAAATTCCAGATGTATGGATGATTTACCTATTTTATATCCTATAAAACGTAGTGATTTCCCATACGACTATAGCTATATATGATTATATATACTATTATATATTACCACAAGGATCCACGAATCCACAGGGTATACAATGGGATAGTCTACCAGAGGGTAGTTATATATCATTAGCTTCCGTTGCAATCGTCCTGGGAAAAGGTCCAGGACAGTTTGGGCGCTGGACCTTCAGGGCTCGAGTCCCCCTTGCGAAGCTGCACTTCGCTCATGGAGCTTCGCTTTAACGTCGTCCTGAAACGAAAAAACTGGCTGGTGGTTTCAACCCCTCTGAAAAATATTAGTCAGTTGGGATTATTATTCCCGATAGATGGAAAAAAATAAAAAATGTTCCAAACCACCAACCAGCATAGGACGCCCCAGACGGAAAACGGCCGGGCATTTGAAAAGCGCTGACGAAAAAAGACATGTCTACGATTAAAGGCCAAAGGCATATCTGGCATTATTACACTTTTCGAAAATAATTCAACTACATGTTGCTTGCGGAACCTCAGTTTTTGATATATATATATGGTCACCGACAGAATTTTGGAAATGGAAAAAAGGTTCGACATGGGCAAGCAAACAACTGCGGCGCGCCGGGGCCGTATTTTTCCATAATTCTGTTTTACTGATAAAAATGCACACCTCAAAAATCGGTAATGCCTTGTATACCGAACCTTTTTGGAAGGGGCGTGACGTGCTGCAGTTAAATTTCCATATATATTTTTTCCATGTGAGGGTGTTTCTTGGCATATGACCATTTCCATAATTATTTGTTTCCTGAAAGGGGTGACAACTTTTCTATTGACATGTTTCCATAATTCTTTTGGCCATGGCTACAGTGCATGATTATGGCTACAGTAGCATCAGTGGGAGATCAAAATAGACATGTGGAGGAATAATTTCACATTATCTGGATTTAGTCCCAAAATCATGCAAATACGCTGTAAAGCAGGTAGTTTGGAGGACCAGGATCCGAAAAGTAAGATTTCCAAAATTAATTTCGCATCGTGGATTAGAGGCTTTTGTAGACATTTGTATACATTTGTTTCATCCCTTTTTTTTGAAGGATCAAGATCCGAAAACTGAATCTAGATTTAGTCCCAAGATCATGCAAATACGCTGTAAAGCAACTGGTTTGGAGGATCAGGGTCCGAAAGCTGAATCTAGATTTAGTCCCAAGATCGTGCAAATAAACTGTATACAAGGTGGTTTAGAGATGTTTGGAGGATCAGGATCCCAAAACTGAATCTGGATTTAGTCCCAAAATCATGCAAATTTGCTGTAAGCCAGGTGGTTTGGAGGATAAGGGTCCCAAAACTGAATCTGGATTTAGTCCCAAAATCATGCAAATTTGCTCTAAACCAGCTGGTTTGGAGGATAAGGGTCCCAAAACTGAATCTGGATGTTGTCCCAAAATCATGCAAAAACATTAAAAACTAGGTAGTTTGGAGGATCAGGATCCGAAAAGTAAGATTTCCAAAATTAAGTTTGCATCGTGGATTAGAGGCTTTTGTAGACATTTGTATACATTTGTTTCATCCTTTTTTTTGAAGGATCAAGATCCGAAAACTGAATCTAGATTTACTGTAGTCCCAAGATCATGCAAATACGCTGCGAAGCAACTGGTTTGGAGGATCAGGGTCCGAAAGCTGAATCTAGATTTAGTCCCAAGATCATGCAAATAAACTGTAAACAAGGGGGTTTAGAGATGTTTGGAGGATCAGGATCCCAAAATTGAATCTGGATTTAGTCCCAAAATCATGCAAATTTGCTGTAAGCCAGGTGGTTTGGAGGATAAGGGTCCCAAACTGAATCTGGATTTTGTCCCAAAATCATGCAAAAACATTCAAAACTAGGTAGTTTGGAGGATCAGGATCCGATAAGTAAGATTTCCAAAATTAATTTTGCATCGTGGATTAGAGGCTTTTGTAGACATTTGTATACATTTGTTTCATCCTTTTTTTTGAAGGACCAAGATCCGAAAGCTGAATCTAGATTTACTGTAGTCCCAAGATCATGCAAATACGCTGCAAAGCAACTGGTTTGGAGGATCAGGGTCCGAAAGCTGAATCTAGATTTAGTCCCAAGATCATGCAAATAAACTGTAAACAAGGTGGTTTAGAGATGTTTGGAGGATCAGGATCCCAAAATTGAATCTGGATTTAGTCCCAAAATCATGCAAATTTGCTGTAAGCCAGGTGGTTTGGAGGATAAGGGTCCCAAAACTGAATCTGGATTTAGTCCCAAAATCATGCAAATACGCTGTAAAGCAGGTAGTTTGGAGGACCAGGATCCGATAAGTAAGATTTCCAAAATTAATTTTGCATCGTGGATTAAAGGCTTTTGTAGACATTTGTCTCACTTGTTTTTTCTTTTAGAGGATCAGGATCTGAAAATTGCTATTTCCAAAATTATTTTTTTTGAAAGTCCGTAATGTCGCTAATTTTTTGTCTTGGTTTCGGTCCCCAACCTTTTCCGCTAACTGCGGCGCGCGAACCTTTTTTCATTTCCAAAATTCTGTCGGTGACTGTATATATTTCTGGACTATGCCTTAATAAGCTTTATAAAAATGGGAGTGAACCAAAACAGCTTTCAACATCTGTAACCTAAATTATATAATAAATAACATAAAACAAACAACATATATATATATAACACATATTCTCGGATTATATCAGTACCACATATAATCCAAACATACTGTAGGTATAGTTTTTCTCCCATGTTTTTGGGCTTTTGAGGATGTCAGGTCCTCAATAATTTTATTGGTTACATCTTTCTACCACAGGTCCTCAAGATGGTGCAGGGAGACGCCATGGCGATCATGAATCCAAAGAGTAAACTCAGCATCATGTGCAGCACAGCCAGAAGGGTCTTCGAGATCACCATCCATTTGGCCGTTGGCTCCTGCTGCGGCATGCAAAGGGATCCTTATCGTTAGTCAACTGGCGATGAACTAATGGATGAGAACGACCATGATGATGATGATGATGGTGATGATTATGATGATGATGATGATGATGCTGATGATGATGATGATGCTGATGATGCTGATCATGATCTTGATCATAATCATAATCATAATCATGATGATGATGGTTATGATGATGGTTATGATGATGATGATGCTGATGATGATGATGCTGATGATGCTGATCATGATCTTGATCATAATCATAATCATAAACATGATGATGATGATGATCATGGTGATGATCATGATGATGATCATAATGATGGTCATGATGACGATGATCATGATGATGATGATGATCATGATGATGATCATGATGACGATGATGATCATGATGATGATGATGATGATGATCATGATCATGATCAGGATCATAATCATGATCCATGAAGTTGTGAACTAAATGCATGTCCCTCTTGACCCCTCCAATTCTACAAATCCCTTAGGCCAAAGGTTGTGATCAAACAATTGGGATTTGATGAGTGGACCAACTATGCTGGGGATACAATGTAATGTCATTAACAAGACGGGGTATCTGGTTGTCCAAAAAGGTTAGTATACCCCAAGTCATGGCAGTTTCAATAAATCATAATGAGGAGCCAGCGGATTTAGGGCTGCTTTTACATGTTCAGCCCATGGCCTAGCTAGTTCGACTCCAAGTCATAAGTCATGTGAGAGTTTGTGAAGAGTGTTCATCACTCAAGCGGAGACACTTAGAATTTTCCAGTTAAAATCATATCAAATCATATCCTCTTGTGGGGATCATCCCAGGCGGGAAAAAAATGAACTCACTGACCAGATTCTTCTCCTTTATTTTCTCATGATACACAATAGCAATTACCTGAAACCATCAATGCACCTTTTGCATCCTTTTGCTCTGGACAAATTTGCAAAAAAACTCAAATTGGCCATGTTCGGGAAAATGTCCTTCATATAATATATACCAACCGACATTTATCCACCTGGACACATTGGTACTATTCTCGAAACAGAAACACAGCATCAAAAATTGATTTTTCCGCATGGAACCCCATGGATTTCCCTCGGAAAACCATCGATAAAATGGGATAATTACGGTACATTACGGTGAATAAGCCATGAAAAACCAACCACCGGGGTAATATTGAACTACATCCCCATTATTAAACACATTATCCAAATATACCCAATATCTATCTATCTATCTATCTATCTATCTATATATGGTCCCGTCCTCCGTCTCTCCACCCCCCCCCTCCCCCCCCCATGGGTTGGGTCCCCAGGTACCACCCCCCCTTTCCTTCTATTTGCAAGCTATTGGCAGCATTTCTGATGTCCAGCTTCGTATTTGCTAGGTCTTTGCAGCATTTCTGACTACCAGCCTCGCATTTACTAGGTACATGCTACCTTTTAGGTGACCTACGTAGCACATATACTCCCTCAAAGTACCTACGTGACACCTACGTACTACCTATAGTGATATATATATATATATATATACATGTGCTATGTATCTACTTCCTATTTACTACCTGTGTACTCTGACAACATTACATGTGTTTAACATATACCGTACTTACCATACATTCCAATGATGCCATGCATACCATACCTATCATACCTATCATACATACCACATATACCATACATATGCAACATAATTGCCACACCTACCATACATACAATAGCAAACATACATGCCATACATACCATACCTACCATACATCCATACTTTCCAAACATGCCATACCAGACCGACCATACACACCATACATACCCAACATACCATACCACACCCCCACCACACCACAGGGGGGGAGGGGGACAGCGCCACACCGCCACCACACCACAGGGGGGAAGGGGGAAGATCTCATATGGGGCCAGTATATGGGACCCGTCCCATTGGGTGGGGGGGAGGGGGGGGGTTGCAGGGCCAGGGCCTGGTGAATATATATATATATATATGTATCTATCTATCCCCATATCTAGGATGGCTTAGCGCCTATCCAAAACAGCGCTGATTCCGGTCCTTGATGCCGGGAGCCCTGGTCCCAGCTGACCTCTCTGCAAAAGTATCATCAAACTCCAGGCGCCAAAATGATTCGTCAACGATACCTGCGGCCGGCGCTGATAAGCTGAGCCCAACAAATCCCTGGGAAATCCCTGGGAAATCCCTGGCTGAACGTAGGAGAATGTAGGGAAATATAGGGAAAATCGACATTTTGGAAATGATGGTTCCATAGGGAATATTAGCGAATCATCGGGAACATAAACAGTTGATAACTATGCAAAAACATCGTATATATATAATCTAGAATATCTTATATACACATAAGAACTAAGGTACCATGGCTTATCATAGGTTTTTGCCCACTCAATTACCGTTCAATTGTATATCGTCATTTTTTTTTGCAAAACAACAAATTAGGGTGGCCCAGTTGATGCATCAATCCCAACAATACACCAAAAAAATAGTAGCACTTCTACATTATGTGGGGCCCCCTAGATAGCTAAGTCGGTGCAAATAACTCTCACAACTATGGTTTGTAACACTAATAACTAATTATAGGTAATGGGGTTTATAAACCAACCTATAAGTGGGGGGGGCAAATTCTAGGGCTTGTCAAAAAGTGAGGGGGTACAGCAATTTATGGCCATGTCAATGAGAAAAATAAGGACAAACATGGACAAACTAAGGATGGAATTCAGCTAGGGGTCTACTGTCGTCTGTCATCCCTCAAAAGAAGTAGTCACGGCCTGATTTTTCACCCGCTAATCTAAGCTGGCAACGGCCAGCTAAAAACCCTATCTCAAAGCAAAAAAATGGAGCAACATCATGCATATAGTAATCCCCAAAAAGATAGAACAGTCAAATCCCACTAGAAAAGTTACAGGCAAATGTCGTGTCTATCTTCGGTTACGAAAAAAATAAATAAATCGGACCCAACTTCACGCTTCACGACGTGCTGCTGTGGCTTTCCAGCAGCATTTCAGGATTGATCATGCCCGAGGCAGAAGGAATCAATGGATCTCCGAAGGCAAGGGATGCACAGCTGCATGATTGAAATTGGCCTAAGATCTCCATCGATTCCTCGGCGGAAAAAATAAAATGAAACCCAAGACCAGAATGGGATCTGGGACTACATGAAAATCGGCGAATATGGATTGATATAGGATAATAGTGGGATAGTAATGAATGGTTAATAAACAAATAGATAATTATGGGATAACTATATATATATTATAAATAAAGAAACCATCCCCCAATAAAGGTTTATCGTTTGGTATACCCTGGGATGATGTAAAATGAACGAACGTCGCCTGTTGCAATGATCAGTTCCATTGGGAATCCAACAACCATGTGGGGCTTCAATAACTATGGTTTGTGATCACGTATAACTATAGGTAATCTATAGGTAATAGGGTATATATAAATGTATATAAACCAACTTAACACTGAGGGGGCCGGGGGCCCCACATTGTAGATAATGATGTTTTCCTTTTTGCGATTATTTGATGTCTTCCTCCATCTTCCAATCTTCTATCATAAGACTCATTTTTTGTTTGTCATTGGCAACCGAAGAAAGGAGGACCTCAGCATATGTTTGTGCCCAGAAAACTCCTAGCAAGCTTCAAACAAAGTACCTTCACCATCAATTTCCCGTTAAAGACAGGCAAAAAAAACATATTGGGGGAAAGTCCTAATATGTTTGTTCAGTTTTACTCTTTTGTTTGAAGATCACATGTCAACAAGCCAATGTTATGGTTCCTCACTTCCTTGTTTTTTGTAGGTTCAGATGGGGAAACCCCAAAATGGGTTGATACTCCAAAATGATCCAAAATGGTCATTTTAACATCTCGGAAATGACTGTCACAACCTTAAGATTGTTGTTTTCGAATCCCAACATTTTCAGAGAAACCCGTATTGTATCGTTGGTTAAACATCCTACATGTTATATAATTATATATAAATACATATATATATATATATATTAATATAAAGTTCTATATAATTAGATAATTACATATGTACTTTCTGAGGAAGTATGTAAGGTATGATTTGAAGGGTTAAATACCTTCTCAGGGAATACTTGGATCATCTTGGATCCATAGGATGGAACATACATATCCACATAAACATCATAAACTGCTTGAAGAATTAAAAAACACGGCCCCAGCTTCGCTTTCAGCATGGCTAATCTCCAGTAGATACGGCCGCTCACTGCAGTCCTGCAGGGCCAGTTGTGGCAATTGCAACGAGACGGGCCGCGACAGCCAGCAGAGATTGCGCCAAGCATGGAGGGGGAGGAGCCAACTGGATTGGATGCCCATGTGTGGTGAGGACAAAGACAAGTAATGGCCTAAGATGGCCGGCGGGAACTGAAAAGAACATCCTTTTGTGGGAACTTTTCGAGTCAACCGTTGTGGGGTTGTTGTTGTTGACGTTGTTGACCGATGTGTTAGGACTTTTGGTGGAAACCCAAGCAATATACAGGGGAGAAAGTTTGTCAATGAGCGATGCAAGCCTCAACAGTGGAGGATCAAACCTTTGGATCTGCCGGAAAAATCTACATCGATGAACAGTGGGTGAATGTTCATTGAGCAGTGTTCATTGAGCCCCTGTTGGTTGATTGTTAATCCAAGATTCTAAGATATTGGGGAATGGATGGGAATGGTTAATTGATGTTAATAGTATAGCTGATTGTTCCATTTCTGGATAATTCTGGATATATACATCCATTCTATGGCAACAAGCCACTCACTTACCAGTTACATCCAGTTACCAAGCCAGAAATCCCAGATACCCAAGTCCACTGAGTCGTCGAAGTTCTCCAACAGGCTGGGAAGGGCCCCCCGAATGATGAGCCCACCCATGGAATGCCCAATGCAATGCAGCACGATGCGACTTCCTGGCCGTTGGCCTAAAATTCAATCGACCGTTTGCATCTGGAGATACCACCAATGATATCCAACTGGAACATCCAACTGTGTTTTCAGGACCTACAATCAGCGAGGCTTTTTGAGGATCAAGAAAAAATGTCGAAACTGGCTCTTGGATCAACTGAACCCGGCTTTTGGAGCAACAACTCTGAATCTTTGATCAACAAAAACGAGGTTCTTAAGGGAAAAAGACACCAACTCATCCTACTTCCCGGAGAATCATCATGCATCATTGTGCATCATCTATATATATATACAAGATATACAAGACCGCTAAACCCATGTTGAGGAGTGCTTGTAGAGGGAAAGGATGAACGACAATTCCATTCCGCTCCAGCAGGTCTCCACCATTTCCAGCGTTGGTGGAGACCTAAACTCACGGATTTTAGCGTCGTGATGTATCCCATGCACGGTTTCTTGAATTTCAATTGCATCTAGACAAGGCATGACAAGGCCACAAATCATCAAACATCTGGGGACATTACAATATATCACTAGCCTGAAATAGCTGAAATAAGGATATTTGGAGATAGTTACCCCTTATTGACCATCATTCCAACCATGATTCAAGGGACCAACAAAGAAAAACAGAACAAGGGGAGGAAAAACCATATATCCCTCCTGTTGTACTGTTGATATGTTCTGGATGGTTACGAGTTACAAAAGATTATGATGTATATAATATGTAATTGTATGTATATATATATGATACTTCAAATAATATAAAATATGATGTATGAATAATTATGATGTATATAACTTATATTAACTTATACAACTTCTATATTATATATATACGTATATATATAATTCTGCCCAATAAAGCAGGTAGTAAAACTTACTCTCATAACTGAACTGCAGGTTTTTCCCATCCAGCGATCCACCGTTCCTGGAGAACTGGCTTGCGTCCCTCGGACCACCTCGAAGATTTCGGCTGCGGCCATCTTGGACAACTCGCGCAAGTCCCTCCCCATGAAGCTGGAGGCAGCTCGCAGCTTCTGCAAGGGCCATAGGACCCAATCCGGGAAGCGCTGGCTCAGAATTTCTACCCACGTTTGCCAGTCTGCGTCCTTGGAGGCTGTGGATTGCCGAATTACCACCATCGATTCCCTATTGAAAAAATGCAAAAGATACATCAAGAAGCAAAGCCAGTGGAAAAACAGAGGACAAAACAACTGGGAAAAAAAAACAGCAAAACTTCTTGAAAAAAGCAAACTCCAAGCATCACTACCTCCCATGCCATGCACCATGATGCACAGCGGAATGCTGCCAGTCATCTCGGGCGTCTCGCTCTCTACGCCCAGCTCGCTACGGTTTTTCTCGCCGCAGATCGTGGTGGGGGTCACGTGGCGCGAAAAGCTCTGCTGTTCGTCCATCAGCGAGTTGAGAATTGAAATCAGTGAAGCGATTTCTTCCAAATTTAGGATGCAGCCGGGAAAGTATGTATAAATCTTGCCTGAGGGGGTGTTTTGGGCATGTTTTTGGATGTTGTTGCTTCAATATAAATGTCTGTGTCCTCATGCAGCTATGGATGGGGCGGCAAAAAGCAAACTACCCCCCCAACTATTGACACCTGTCCCCCTTTTTACGTATCTTAGTGTGTTGTACTTAGACCCTCCAAGTATCCATAAAAAATTGCAAAAGTTCCCCAAAAACAATGGGTATACAACGGTATACCAGATTTTCCAGGCGGTGGAGGGTCGAGGTAGTTTGAATATATTCATGGATATGTGGATATATTTGACACATAGAATAGTCTAGATATTTCCATGTTAATCTCTTGGAGCGTTGCCTTGTTTCAACAGGCAGCTCCATGAGCCTCTTCACGTGGCAGAGTCGACCAGTCAACTCCCAGCCGATGCAAAGCAAAAAGAGAAGGCCGTGCTATGCTATGCGGGGAAGAAATTGAACACATTCTTATAGTATCTTATATAGTCATATAGTATCATATAGTATTCATATACCATCATATAGTCATAAATTATCATAAATTCATGTTTCTCCGAGTTTCTCCTATTCTGTCTGAATAAAACAAAATGACACACAGTATTTCAATGATGTTCAATGTATTTCACCTTATTTCACCACCAAGTTTCGTTGGAACACAGAACACCCCAGAAATTTCTGGCCGCTTTTGCACCAGGAGTTGGACTCCGCGAGCCGCGAGCCGCGACCTCGGCCTCGCGAACCCAGCATTGCTTAAGGACGTGAGCAAAATCGGAATTTGAGCACCCAAAATGGGGAGGCTTTATGAAAGGTAAGTTGAAACAACCGTGTTCACTTAGTTAACTGTGTTTTGATATCTACGGTTGGATGTGTGAAGTGAAACTAAACCAACTCAAAACCCCTTCCGTCAATGGGCTTCAGAGGCATGTTTGGATACCTTTCTGAAGCCACTGAAGGCTGGTCATTTGCTTTCTCCACCCAGCCATGCCGGGGGGTTCTACCTTGGAGCCCCAAATGGTCTTGGCCTTGGACCAACACTACCAGGATGTCAGCCAATGAGGCAACATCATTTACCCACATCATCCATTGTTGCCTGCTGAAGCTCACAATGTGTGATTCATTTTTTTTTTCACATGTTGCTACTGAATCTACTGAACTCCCAATTGTTTGGTTGGCTTTGACTCCTCCACTTTGGGACTTGACCGACAATCATCACCCTACTCATAGAATAGACTTTGTTTCCATTACTTAGCTTAACATTTGAGGCATGAAAAGTACTACTGGAATAGTAATTCTGTATCCTTACTATACTCCATAAGAATCCCCAAGAAAAATGAATAACCCATAGTATGACCCACGCTGATAACCAACCAACACAAGTATTTTCTATGGTTCACTTTGTCGTTGTACCTAAACTAAACTAACCTTTAAAAACGCAGGGATGAATCATCGCCACCGGTCCACAGCGTAGCACCTCATCGCATATAGCCGCGGGCTTGTCCAGCCCCTCCAAAGTGCATAGGCTGCGTCATGGGCCTGGTGGATCAAACTGTTTTCCGGAAAGATCAGGAGAGGATTGGTGGCTTTACGAGAAATTGGAGGATGTTTTTTGTTGCATGGTTAAGAGCTAAAAGCAAATGATCAGCTACAAAAACGGCGATTTTTGCAAGGTGGATTGCTTGTGTGACTTTTCAGGTTTCCAAATCACTATGGTTCCAGCCCCCTGAAATAGCACGGTTTCGTTCATTGTTTTGATCCTCTGTGCATTGGAGTTGGTCCATGTTGGTCCCAACTGATTTGGTGGAAAATCACATGGCAAATGCCAAATGCTTTTCCTTTTTGATGTTCCCCACAAAAAACTCAATGAACATCAATCCATTGTCACATCCCCATACCAAAATCTCAACTCGGTCCCGCAAAATCATGTCAGTGAGGCGGTCTGCCCATTTGCTGCTGGGACATCATGCCTCAAGACAAGAGTTGAAGAGTTGAAAAAAAAACCGAATACTTAGGGGCTTCGATCTCTTTTTACCACATGTGTATAGTTCTTACTGTTTTATAATTGCGGATTGTAAGGTGCACGGCCCTTAGGGTGCACGCGTCATGCCACAAGAGGTAGTCGGATAGTGACTATGCTCAGTGGTGTGGGTGGGCAGAGTATCATGTTTCACAGGTTATGAAGCCCAATGCACGCTGCCCAGTGCCCGCTTTGGATGAAGACCATGTGGAGAACTCATTTGGATAAGTGACGGCATTGATGTCGCACGGTGGCCTGCCAGTGCAAAAGGGCGGAGGAGCTGGAAAGCAAGTGGCCATGGCTGTGCCGATGTCAAAAGGGGGCCGCGCCCCAGAGGAGGAAGATGAGGTAGCCAGGAAGTGCAGAAGTCGTCTTCATTTGGATTCGAAACCCAAGCAACACAAGCGGGTCCTTGGCGTGGTGTCGCGCACGGGCGCGCCCGAACTCTGGTGAAGCGGAAGCCTGTGCTGACGCCAGGTGGAAGCGGATCTGGGGAGAGGGTTTGCGTAGCCGGCCCACCACCGGGGATCCTGAAAAACGCGTGCCAGATGCAGCCTGCTGCTTGTGCAAGCTGCAGGCTGGGGGGAGTGCGGATTGTAAAGGGGCCAAACGGGCACTTAGCTCAATAGGGTTGACTAAGCCCAAAACGGTGCCACGGACCGTCCATGCCACAAGAGGTTTTGCCAGACAGTAGCGATAGTGACTATGCTCAGTGGTGTGGGTGGGCAGAGTATCATGTTTCACAATAATAAACAATTTCCCCTTTTATAGAATCCCCTTATATCCCCTTTATATAACCCTTTATCCCAACTTCTACTGTTATCTTTTCCTACAGTCTGTTCTGACTTTATTCATCCCTAGGGCCCCTATGTGATCTGTTCAGAATTCTTCAAGTGCCGGCCGATGCTGTTACAGCACCTATGTGCCATTCTCGGAAAAAAAACATCTTTTTTCGGGGGTCACTATACAAAAAAATACTAAACATCAATACTTACATGATCTTACCCCACAAAATTAGGGACTGGTTGGTGGTTTCAACCCCTCTGAAAAATATTAGTCAGTTGGGATTATGATTCCCAAGATATGGAAAAATAAAATTCATGTTCCAAACCACCAACCAGGGGAAATTTTACCATCCGTATTATCTGTGTGAGTGATTTCTGGTCGACCGCGGGGAGGTCATGGCACATCGCCGTAGCACCTTGCCACCGAGTATCCCATGCTGGGTGGCTGCTGCCACAGCTGCACTTGCGGATGCACATGTTGCTGCATCCTCAGGTTCACAAGATGGTCTAGGGAATAAGTGGGTATTACATGGGGATATATTATATCTCTAAATATGTATACAATCACATATAAATATGTGTATATAATGGGATTATACGTTGATACACATGGGGATTGCACGGGGATATTTTTTTGTTTGTGCCCATAAGAATTGTGCAATATACTCCATAGTTCCAGAACTGTTACCATTGTTTGTGTATTTGGAGGGTCTAGGTATGGACGTACATATATATATATATATATATACACATATATATATATATATCGTCTATATTATAATACCATACTTGGATTCATTTGATTGGTCTGGAATATTATCTATCACATTGTTTATCCATGTAATTCAAGGTGGTGTCCGGTAGTTAGTTCTGTTTGTTGGTCTATCCTATAAAAGCATCTATCTATGGCTAGGTCCTTTGATACACATCTGTAAAAATAATATAGATATAATATGATATAATATATAAATATATACATATAGATATATACATATATTATTATTATCATTACTATTATTATTATTACTATATATATATAATATAATATTATATGTATAAGAGAGAGAGAGAGGAACTACCCCAAAGTCCCATGTTTTATGAGACTGTCCGTGATTTTCCCTAATAAAAATGCAATTTCAAGGGTATACGGTATACAGCACTAAGCTCCTGGCTGCACAGGCTGCGGAAACCTCAACCATAACGGATCTCATGATATCATGGAATAGGCCCCTGGTCATCTCACCATGAGCCAATATGAGTTCCAACTTTTGACGGCACACATGTCACTCATGTATAAATTCATGTACGAGTAGGATCTGTTCTGATAGTTTTGAAATCAATGGTATTCCTATGTATTTAATTGAATTACAATCCCCTGATTGTCGCCAATCGTCATTCAATAGTCCCTTCAATCTTAAGAAACATATCCAAAAACCTCCAATGCAATGGTGGATCCATGCAATTTGAGGAGGGCAATGTGATACTGGCTGGTGGTTGACCTACCCCTCTGAAAAATATGAGTTCGTCAGTTGGGATGATTATTCCCAATATATGGAAAAATAAAACGTTCCAAGCGACCAACCAGTAATGGGATTAGTAAATCCTCCAATTTCTTCGGCGATTTCCCTTTAGCAGATTTCCCAATCTTAGCCATCACTTTTAGTGAGGCCAACGCAGGTCGCTGTAAACATTCCAGATATTAATTCCAGCCACCTAGACATGGCTCCTCTGGGAGACTCTCTGACATGAACAAATCACAGCACGTCAAATCCATCACATTCCCCAATGCTTCCTGGGAATTGTTTATATGTTTTGAAAGTAGCAGAACAGAGAATTTTGATGTGGAACACCCAAGAGTGGCCACATTCAAAGGACATCAAAGTATCATCTTCCAAACCCTTGTCAGAGGGTTGTATGTTGCTGTGCACCTTACAAAACTGCGTACGATCAAGTGGCTCCAGACCCTCATTAATTACAGTGGATGCCCCACACAAACAAATTGATGTCATTTTCATGAAATAATCCATCCATCTGTCTACCCCACGGCCCCACGATTCGTGATTCTATTTGAGCAGTGTTCAAAAACCAGGTGTCACTACTGGCTGGTTGAGAACAGGATTCCCCATGGATCCAATAGATTGGTGATATTTGGTGAGTATGATCCCCGAAATAATCATCCAATCGGGTTTTTGAACACTGCTCATCTGATCCCGCCATGGTTTCCCAAACCTCCGCAAAGGCTGTCGATCCTCGTCGCTCTCTGCTGTGTAGACTTCCTGTGAGCCAGGGAAAGTGAGGCCAAGGCCGACTTGATGGGAAACCATTGATTTACCCGTGGAATTGGGCCAATTCAAAAAGTGCCTAAACCTTTGATTCACGATATTACCCACAATATCATGATAAATATTGTGCATCATGTTTTAATATTTTTTTCCTACCTTTTCATACTTCTTACATTTCCTTACCGAATTTCATGGGTATATCGAGGGTCGGCGGGTGGCTGGCTTCAGAACCGCCTTGCTACGTGCGCTTCTTCCAGCCTCGGGTGGGGACAAAAGCCCGTGGCTGGAAAAGTGGAGTTCTGTTTCCTGTAACTTATCTGACACAAACGGTATTAATTTTATGCATACATAATAAATTATAATATAATGCATGTAGTTGGATATTTCATGAATATAACATCTGTTCTAAAATCACAATTTTAATGAGATTGAATTAGTGGGATATTTCATTAATAAAACTGAATACAGTATTTCTAACCAGCTTCAGTTACTGTAAACCATAGTTAATGGGATATTTCATGGAGATAGAGGACCCACTGTTTCTTTTTCTTTTGCATGTCATGAATATAACTAAACAACTTCCAGTTACCATGAATTTAACTGGCTATTTCATGGGGATTTAGCCATCATTATTAATTAACCAACAATAATATGATCTATGGGGTCGGAAAATGGATGAACATGGTGTATACGATCCACCCTCAAACGGCACTGTTTTTTCAGAGGATGTTTTTGAGGTAGCCTATGGGCCATCTACCCCCAGTTGGATAGCCCCCTATAGTATGAGGTAGTGTAGGATTGTTCAGTGGATAGCCCCACATGTTCCCATATAATCACGGATTTGTAGGCAATCATTTTTCAGATTTCTTCAGATGTGTCCTGTGGCCTTGTCCCTCTGGCACGTCTGTCTAGTCCGTTGAAGATACAGAAAAAAATCAGCCACACTAAGAACCTGTTTGTTATCACCGGGCGTTTTCCAACACAAGGCCCGCGGTTCACGTCAAGCAGCAGCACCAGAACATAGAAGGCACAGCAGCGCCATGAGACCTCTAAGCTAGGATTTGGGAGTAACGCAACTAACCCCATTTCCAGATACCCCCATAGACAACCCAGCTCGGGACTGTAAAAGTTAGTATGGTTTGCTGAATATGTTCTGCTGAGATCAGCTCGGGTTATTTCAGCAACAGACATAAGACATTTACCAACAATTAATGAAAAATGGTGAACTGACTTATTTCGAACATGATAATTTGACAGCCACAGCAACGGCTGGCAGTGGAACCTCTCAATTTTCAATAAGGCAAACGTTCTACAGAAAGAGGGAATTTAAATAATTTTCTATATACTAGCAGGTCACCATTACCAGAGTGCAAATCAAAGCCAAAAGAAGTTCCTAGTTCAGCAATGCCGAACACAAGTGGGCTGCAAATCTTGCTATTGAAAATACAGAGTACTTGAAATTCACACATATAATATATCTATATATTATAAACAATTATAAATATGATCAATCTGACTAGTGCTGTCCAGAAAGAAAAATGACAGCAAACTCACACTCCAGACAGTTCTGGACAAATCCGCTTGGATCAATTCCCATTCGTGCTGAATCACCCTAATTAATCATAGTTACAAACCAACTCCATCAATCTGTTGGTTCCATCACCATGTTTCTTTGTCAACTCCCCGTTGTTTTCGGCTTACAGCTCTCCGCAAATGTCGCTTCGGATTTTCAATCACGTTCCCTCCCTGCTGGGATGTGCATCACACTTCAAAACCGCTTCAACACCGGTTGATTTAGTTAAACAAATCATACAACATAGTCCATACATTACTCTGGCTGAATTTAACCATTTAATCAGAGCTCAGGACTTCCGTTGCAAATAGGCTGATTCCCCCATAACCCAAAAACCACCAATGTTGCTGTGATGTCGCGACGTGAGGTTGTTGTCCATTACACTGACCAATGCAAGATACTCATATTGCTAGTATGTCAGAATATCCCAATGATACTAACCAACTACCCAACTAACCAACTACCCAACTAACTTACTTACTAACTTACTTACTTACTTGCTTACTAACTAACTAACTAACTAACTAACTAATTAACTAACGAACAAACAAGCAAACTAACTAACTCCAACGATGATATGTTTGATGGTTAACTCCCCATCTTTCATGGTCCATTTTCCAACGAACAACGATCGTTGGAGAGGTACCGATCAGGACACTGAGGAGCAAAAGGCCGATGCCCAAAAAACCCTCAGCTCTGCGAGGAAAAAGTCATGGACCCATGGGGCCCAAACTGGGCCAAGTCGAGAGTTTCTATGGGTGTTTATATATATATATATATTTATCTATACATATATGTATATATATATACGTAATGCTACATACATATATAATCAATTATATACATATGTACTATATATGTACTATATATGTATAATATATATACCCTACACTTCCAAAGGCCTCCATACTGAGGTCCTTTCACCAAAGGCCTTCATACAGAGGTCCTTTCGCCAAAGGCCTTCATAAATGTTCATAAATGATATATAATGATATAAGACGATGTTATGCATATCATTTAACATCATAAACCATCATAAAACATCAAAAACAAAGAAAAACATAAACCATCATATAACTTCATATGAGTTATAATGTTTCCCACCTTAATCCCACAAACCCCCACAGAGCGCGAACACATTTTAAGCTTTGGGCCAAAACACCTTTATGATCTGTCCCCCAAATTAGCCCATTTGGTGGAAACAGTTTCCTTGGAATCCAAGGGTTTTCAAACCGGGGTCATGCTGGGAGGTGCCAGGTGGCGCGCGGCAGTTCTTCTGCCGATGCAATCTTGCTGCGCAGAGAACTGAAGTACATCACGGGACAGGTGGTCGAAGGATCTTACTGGCCCGTATTCTGAAGTGGAACTGGCCAGTATTTGTCCAAGATGTTTTTCCTCGACAAACTTGGGACACTAGTTGCAGACTTCCCAACTCAGAAGCCAACTGACTTGGCAAATTCGAGAACTGCACAAAGGAAGAGCAAATTGGGTGCTGCCACAAAACATATAAACAGAAACCCAACAGAAACACAGAAGAAAACAAATCAGAATTCAACACAATACATATTGAACAGAAAAATGATTGCAACACAGAATGAAAAGATAGAAGAAAACACAACAGAAAACAAACCAACATAACACACATAACAGAAACATAGAAAAACAAGACATAAACCAAATTTAATCAGAAACATAACGGAAACAACAAAAAAAAGACATAAAACGGAAACATAACAAAAACATAGAACTAAAACACAACATAATTCAGAATTTAAGCAAAAACGTAACATAAGCAAAACATAAAACAAAACATTACACATCAAATAGAAAACAAACTGTGAAACAAACTGGAAACAAAACATACAAAGAGACCAAAAACATAAAGTAGAGAGCAAACTGCAAAATATAACAGACACGTAACATAAAACACACCATAAAACATAAAATAGAGAGCAAACTGCCAAACACAACAGAAACATAACATAAAACACACCATGAAACATGAAATAGAGAGCAAACTGCCAAACATAACAGAAATATACAGAAACATAGATGCATTTTTTAATAAAATAGAGAGCAAACTGCGAAACATAACAGAAACATACAGAAACATAAATGAATTTTACATAAAAGCAGCAGCGGAGAGTGGCATTGTGGACGGAACCCCAAATGGAACCCATTTTAAGCCTCAAGTTTTGAGCCAAGTGCTTGAATGCAGGAAAGGAACCCAGCTCAATAAACGGTGAATCCTGCATTTTAGACTTCGATTGGTGGGTGCTCGAGGGGAAACATGAAAATGGAAGGAATATGCTTGAAATTGTGAACATGTTTTGAATAATGGATCAACTAAACTATTGAACAACTAAAGTGGTGCCCTGACATCTTCTGATGGCATCATTTTCATGTTTTCCCATGATGTTCCAACACTCAAAAATTGAAGAAATTTGGGCTCCCAATTCACGGGCCTTTCACGCTGTGGGAGGTCCTTTCACGCAATGGGAGGTCCTTTTCACGGATTTTCACGGGAATTCACGCGTGTTTTGCGCCCATCCCGGCTTTGGTGCTCAGAGCACGGGAGTCAAACATGCAAAACAAATTTATGTTTGTGTATGTTTCTGTTATGTTTCGCAGTTTGCTCTCTATTTTATTTAAAATGTATTTATGTTTCTGTATGTTTCTGTTATGTTTGGCAGTTTGCTCTCTATTTTATGTTTTATGTTTTGTTTTATGTTATGTTTCTGTTATGTTTGGCAGTTTGCTCTCTATTTTATGTTTTATGGTGTGTTTTTTGTTATGTTTCCGTTATGTTTGGCAGTTTGCTCTCGATTTTTTTTATATTTTATGGTGTGTTTTATGTTACGTTTCTGTTATGTTTTGCAGTTTGCTCTCTACTTTATGTTTTTGGTCTCTTTGTATGTTTTGTTTCCAGTATGTTTCACAGTTTGCTTTCTATTTGATGTGTAATGTTTTGTTTTATGTTTTGCTTCTGTTATGTTTTTGCTTAAAATCTGAATTATTGTTGTGTTTTAGTTGTATGTGTCTGTTATGTTTCCGTTTTATGTTTTTCTTATTTTTTTCTGTTATGTTTCTGCTTAAAATTGGTTTATGTCTTGTTTTTCTACGTTTCTGTTATGATTGTTATGTTAATTTGTTTTCTGTTGTGTTTTTTTTATGTTTCCATTCTGCTTTGCAATGATTTTCTGTCTTATATATATTATGTTGAATTCGGTTTGTTTTCTTCTGTGTTTCTGTTGGGTTTCTGTTGGGTTTCTGTTTATATGTTTTGTGGCAGCACCAAATTTGCTCTTCCATTTGGCAATCCCTCGAATTTGCCAAGTCAGTTGGCTTCTGAGTTGGGAAGTCTGCAACTAGTGTCCCAAGTTTGTCGAGGAAAAACATCTTGGACAAATACTGGCCAGTTCCAGTTCAGAATACGGGCCTGTAAGATCCTTCGACCACCTGTCCCGTGATGTACTTCAGTTCTCAGCTCAGCAAGATTGCATCGGCAGAAGAACTGCCGCGCGCCACCTGGCCCCTCCCAGCGTGACCCGGTTTGAAAACCCTTGGATTCCAAGGAAACTGTTTCCACCAAATGGGCTAATTTGGAGACAGATCATAAAGGTGTTTTGACCCAAAGCTCACAATAAAGGGCTGCAGCTCGGCCTTGGCAGTTTATCCGGAATGAAGGGTATCATATAAAATCATATAAACAAATTAATCCCTTGACTTTGTGAAAGGCCAGCTGCCAGCTGAGGCATTGCTAATGGGCTCACTGGGGAGATAGGTTTTGTGAAACCATCATTTTGTGGCAACCTTATTCAGTTTGCCATAGCTCTTCTATGGTGTTTTCATTTCTAGCTATCATCTTGAATGAAACTATTCTATCCTGTGTGTGCTGACCCTTCAGTGTCAAGCAGAAACGGCCTCAGCATCCTGCAGAAAGCCTACGATTCACATGGGAGGTCCTTTCAGGTCCTTTCAGGTCCTTTCAGGTCCTTTGCTCAAATGGGAGGTCCTCATGAAAGGCCTTCATTTCGAGGTCCTTTGAGGATTAGGGTATATATATATATATTGCAACCAAAATCTATCATAGATTGAAGAAGACTGAATTCCGGCTGAAATAGTAGTATTATGTGGTATTATGTGCTGTTTTTGTCGATCTTTTTCGGGAGCTACTATGGGGGTGTCGCGGTATATCATGCTTTAACGAAGGAACGAACAACAGGAAGTTGATGGATGTTGTCTGGCTTATGGTCATTGCATGGCTAACTTGAATACCCACAATAATCAGAAAGTGTTGGCTAGTCGGTCTAATTAACATAGTTAGCCATGGCCGAAAAGTAGCAGGTCAATAACGAAGCTACCAAATTCGACCGTAAGCGATTGGGATAAGAAACTTTGATTACCCGAAATGGTAAACTAACAATTTGCTGTGGAAAATCACAACTTTTAATGGGTAAATCAACTATTTCTATAGGCCATTTTCAATTGCTATGTTAAAAGTTGTTAAATTACGAGAGGGTACTTGCTTGGTTTGTCAGAAACTTACCAGGAAACCATTGCTCTTCGGAAACCATCTGGATCTACCTGGGGGGTCCCCGTAGACACCTCTGCAGCCGAATGGATGGCAACCGTGCTACACAAAAAAAGATTCGTTCCCGCGAGCCGGACGCCAAGGGACCCAAAAATGGCCATCAAAATCAAAAGACATCCTGAGCAGCTCGACTCGCAGTCTCAGGTGTGACAATTTTCAAGCTGCAACACAAAGATGACGAAGAAATCAGAAAAGCATGGAAAACTATATGGTTCAACATGCAAAAGGACCCTATATCCAGCATGCTTCAAAAGATTTCAAAGCAATACCTGGTCCCATAGAAAGAGAACAGTTATTGTCCCAACATTTTGTCCATGTCCGTCCAACTTGGGCTTCTGGCTTTGTTGGCGGATTGGACATGGAGAAAAACACGATCTGCGGAGGCCAAAAACTGAGGGAGAATCGCTGGCATTGAAGGTGCACGAAGGTGCAAAGCCGTTAAAAAAATGAACCTTGACCCAAACATATTCTCAAAATATTCTCAAACTAGCCATCAGAATGGGAAACTGCAAGATGTTTTTCTAAACGGTTTGCATTTTGTTGAAGGTGTTTACCAGCCCCTATCCAAGGTGAAGGATGGTCACCTTGCCTGTCTGCTCCCTTGGGGCTGCGTGATCCTGACAATGTCAGGTGCTGTCTGGGTCAACCACCAGGTACCAACCAGAGTCGGTAACTGTGTGGAGAATGTGGAGCTGAGATTTGCATAGATTTCGGATGGAGGTTTCCTAAGTCATAGGGCTACCCCCAAATCATCCATTTTTGTAGGATTTTCCATAAACCATCCATGTGGGGGTACTCCCATTTTAGGAAACCCCCATGTAGAACTTTATAGAACTTTAAAGCACTCTGAAACTTGTGAAGATGATGAATAGTTTCTTGGACGAGACGATGACCATGATATCACCGACGGAGAGATGACTTATCACCTCCGTTACTTCGTTTCGAATTAAGGACAGGCCAGGTGTTTTTTTTTCCGAAGGCAAAGGCCCATGTGTCTGAGAAAAGGACGTCTACCCTCTGGTAATTTAACATAGCTATTGAAAATGGCCATTTATAGTGAGTTTTCCCATCAAAAATGGTGATTTTCCATAGCTACGTTAAATTACCAGAGGGTAAACCTCACCAAGTCACGTCGAGTCATAAAAAAAACGGCGCCTGTTGTTCATGCCCAATTCCATGCTCCAGGGCTGTACGACTCCTGGTCGCTACCCGTTGAACCGCGTTTGACACAAACGTGTTCGGGGAATATAACAACATATTTGTATTGAAAATATGGTACCCCATTCCATTCACGGGTTCAACTTGTGATTTTTGGAATCTACCATAATCTACCCCATTTTAACAGATACAATCCGGGAGTGTTCTCTTCAGCACCATCATCCCATTTCATCCCATTTCCGCTGCATGAGCTGTATCATGAGCTGTATCATGTGCAGCAATTTCCAACTGAGCCTACTTTCTTGGTTGATACATTCATAGATGTTGATAGGGATTCTACTGACCTCACAAGGCTGGGGACAAAGGTGCTGTTGTAAGTTCTGCATGTGCAGCGTTCAGATGGTTGCAGCTTCTGTGCAAACACTTTGATACTATTTGAACACATGTGATGATATTCGAATATATATATATATAGTATAATATGGGATCACAATCTTTGATCTTTGCGTGGACGTTCCCTCAAAATACCGAGCATCTGGTTGTCTGGTTACTACGAAGAATAATTCCCCAGAACACATCCCTATGATTTGTGGCTGACTTGGATGTTCGCCAGTCACCAATGGTACACTCCTCTTGGACGTACATCCAGATCTTGGCAAAGAGACACAAGGGTGAGAGAAGTATAGCAATAAGATATAAAATGATATAAATACTTTCTGTACATGGGAAGTATGCCAAATGGTATAGTAAATATTCTGATAAATACTCTGATAAATACTATACTATACTTACCATACTATGGTACTACGTGAGAGAAGTATGGTAAATCACATCAACTTACCATCAAGATCGTACGTACTCCAAAAGGATATCATTGGCTATAAATCATGACAATTTTGAACTAGTAGTCTCTTTCATGCGTTTGCGAAGAACTACGTACCCTAAGTAAAGGTTCATTTTCCTATTGTTGTGAATAACATAACTTAACTATCATGTCAACTGTGTAGCCAACAAAAAACACATATACCCTGTGGATCCAAGTACCTTCTGAGGAAGCATCTAGGGTACGATTTGCGGGGTAAATACTTTTTGGGGCTTTAAATTATTTTAAATTCCTTCTCAGGGAGTACTTGGATCATCGATCCATAGGGATAAGAATCTTAATCCATAGGGAGTCCTTAAGGAAGTCGTTTTTTTTTTGGATCCATAGGGATAAAACAAACGACTTCCTTAAGGACTCCACTGGCCGACACCACTGGCAGGTCAACCACCTGGTCCTGCGGGGGGAGGACCAAAGCGCAAAAATCCCGAGTGCGCTGCGCTGGTGTTCAGGGCCTTGAGCCGTTGACCCAAGTACCACCGAAAATGGGCGAAGATAGCGATTCTTATGGGGGCTTGGGGGATCTAAAATGGTCTACTTGGAGAATTGAGTTGTATACCATACCACAAAGATCCACAAAGCAGGAAACATGGCAAATTGAATTGAGTCTCTGACTCTCTGGATGAAACCAGTTCCAAAACGAATAAATTTAAGTGGGTCTTTTGTCTTCTGATACCATCTATCTTTCATGTCTATTTCGCAACCAAGATCCAGTGGATGATCATCTCCTGTTGCTGGGCTGCCCAGGCCCCACGGTACAAGTCTCGTTGCCCCCGACTGATGGTGAGGGGCTGCTTGAACACCAACCAAATGGTATCCGTCCTTTGAAGCGCGGCTTGCGATGCAAAACCACCAGGCCTGCCATAATGGATTAGCGGTACATCTTTTCTGGGTTACTCTGGCTAAGCACCTCATGTCAATATGACCAAGTGCTATACTGTACAGCTATGGCCCCATAGCCAGTTCAGAATGGGATATAATGACTCCTGTAACGAAGATTCTACTTGAATAAGGTTACAAGCCAGTTATGACTGGCTATATGGCTTTAGCTGTTCTATGACCCCTGTGATTTTGAACATTCAGGAAAACTCCTGATCCTGAGCTCATGAGGCGACCCTAGGGGGCACTCATACCAAGCCTGGAAAATAAGACTGATCAGGAACACATATTCAATTATCTATAAGTATCCCCTAGTGGTCAACCAGAATTCAAGAACTTCTCATTCCATTGCTATTGGATCGTGTTGCATCATTGTCTTGAAGATCCCTTCCAGAAAACAAACCTACATAGCCATGGGAAATACCTCCAGGGAAAAACATCGACCTTGACCCTCCAAGTAGCCCTTTAAAAGTTGCAAAAATCCAGAAATCTTGGTAAGATATTGAACATATATATGTATATATACACACATGTTCAGACATCATTGACATGAGGATCGTGAAGGCAAACATTTCCCACGTTTGAAGGTGCTATGTCCAGCACCCTCAATGAGGGTTTCTCTACTTTGGTGTTATTCCCAAAGCATCCTGAAAAATTATACGTTGTAAAGCATGCTAGTCGAAACACGCATGGAACTGGTGGTATCCTCCATTCTTAAACTCGCTGTGAACATGAAAATAGTGTGTGTGTATATATATATATACATATATTTCCCAAATTTTCATGTTTTTTTCACAGGAACATGATTATTCACCCATTACCCTCCGGTAATTTAACGGTTCGCTATGGAAAATGGACATTGAGTTCAATAGTTGAATTACCCATCAAAAATGGTGATTTTCATTGATTTTCCCATAGAAATCGTTGATAAATTTACCCATTAGAGGTGGTGGATCTTTCCACAGGTATGGAACCGATGGAATGGGCTCGCCGAGGTCCCGTCGCGCATGGAGGAACGGTTCCGCTGCCGTTGAAGGCGAACAACGAGCGATCTCCTCAGTGTATGTATGTACGGTATGTACGGTATCTATGTATCTATGTATGTATCTATGTATGGATGAATGAGTGAATGAATGAATGAGTGAGTGAATGAGTTAATGAATGAAAATATGTATGTATGTATGTATGTATGTATGTATGTATGTATGTATGTATGTATGTACTCTATGTACTCTATGTACTCTATGTACTCTATGTACTCTATGTACTCTATGTGCTCTATGTACTGTATGTACTGTATGTACTGTATGTACTGTATGTACTGTCTGTACTGCATGTACTGCATGTACTGCATGTACTGCATGTACTGCATGTACTGCATGTACTGCATGTACTGCATGTACTGTATGTACTGTATGTACTGTATGTACTGCATGTACTGCATGTACTGCATGTACTGCATGTACTGCATGTACTGTATGTACTGTATGTACTGTATGCACTGTATGTACTGTAAATACTGTATGTACTGTATGTACTGTATGTATGTATGTATGTCTGTCTGTATGTATGTATGTATGTATGTACTGTATCTATGTATGTACGGTATCTATGCATCTATCTATCTAATCTATCTATCTATCTATCTATCTATCTATGCATGTATGTATGTATGTATTGATGGGGGTGTCAACCCTGAATTGATTGTTGGATCAATACAATAGGGTTGTCAATTGTCAACCCTGAATTGATTGGTGCAAACGGACCGTCCAAACCGTTGGTATAACACTGAAACCAATCAGTTTCTCTCAATAATTTCCCAAACTGCAGAACAAATGCCTAATTGTTACTTCATCCCCACACAGCCACAACCATCAAACATGTTCAGTGAAAAGTTGTCCTGGTAAACCCGCATAGTAAGGGTTTGCTATCTGAGCCGCAGTCCTCGCAGCAGCAAAACGCGCAACGTCTGCTGGTGGTAGCTGGTCAGCGGCAAACTAACTAACAGTTTGCTATGCAATGCAAATCGCCATGTTTAATGGGCAATGTTTTTCATAGTTCTGTTAGTTTACTGAAGGGTAACATGTTTCTTGCTGGTGTGTTTCACGGGTGCGTTCAACGTTTGACTTTTGCTGGGACATATGGTAGACCGGCCAACATCTATGGCTGTAATCCATCCATGAGGGCCGGTGGGCTTCAAAGGTAAGCACCAAAAAAAATCAGTCTGTGCGTGGGAATATGGGAACACGATAATAAACCATTGGATTTTGAGGTATCCAGTTTCCAAACATCTGTTGACAGCCCAGCGATTAGATCCTCCAAGTTGCTCATTTGATCTCACTTGGGGGTGCAGTTGAAGTTACATATGGGTATAACCATGGTTATGTTGAACCCCCAACAGTTGGGAGAACCCCTATATTGCGAAACATATTCCATTCTAAATGGACGCTTCAGGAGGTTCAACGGTTCAACCGCCAACCAAGTCAAAAGATTTGGAAAACCCAGGTAGAAAAAAAACATGGATGGCATGGCAGTTCAAAAAATGTTTATATAAATGAAAAAAACACAATGCGACTGAAATGAAGTTTTTCTACATCCGTTCAGAAATGTGTCTTCAAATCTGGAAATTCTATGGCATGGTGAATGGATTAAAGTGAGCCAAGTCCCGCCCTGGCCATGCGCTGAGTTTCCCACCCATCGGAGCTCACCTTCGGGGGAAATTGCGGCCAAAACCTGCGGCGACCATCTGGCCATTGGACAGCGGGACATACCAACATGAAGGTGCGACTGTAAACTAGTAGTAGTAGTAGCAGTAGTAGTCGTAGTCGTCGTAGTAGTAGTAGTAGCAGCAGTATCAGTAGCAGTAGTAGTAGTAGTATCAGTAGTAGTAGTAGTAGTAGTAGTAGTAGCAGCGGTAGTAGTAGTAGTAGTAGTAGTATCAGTAGTAGTAGTAGTAGTAGCAGTAGTAGTAGCAGTAGTAGTAGTAGCAGTAGTAGCAGTAGTAGTAGCAGTAGTAGTAGTAGTGGTAGTAGTAGCAGTAGTAGTAGCAGTAGTAGTAGTAGCAGTAGTAGTAGTAGCAGTAGTAGTAGTAGCAGTAGTAGCAGTAGTAGTAGTAGCAGTAGTAGCAGTAGTAGTAGCAGTAGTAGTAGTAGTGGTAGTAGTAGCAGTAGTAGTAGCAGTAGTAGCAGTAGTAGTAGTAGTATCAGTAGTAGTGGTAGTAGCAGTGGTATCAGTAGTAGTGGTAGTAGCAGTGGTAGTAGTAGTAGTAGTAGTAGTGGTAGCAGTAGTAGTAGTAGTAGCAGCAGTAGTAGTAGTAGCAGTAGACGTATCAGTAGTAGTAGTAGTAGCAGTAGTAGTAGTACTAGTAGTAGTGGTAGTAGCAGTGGTATCAGTAGTAGTGGTAGTAGCAGTGGTAGTAGTAGTAGTAGTAGGAGTAGTAGTAGTAGTAGTAGCAGTAGTAGTAGTAGTATCAGTAGTAGTGGGAGTAGTAGTACTAGTAGTATCAGTAGTAGTGGGAGTAGTAGTAGTAGTAGCAGTAGTAGTAGTAGTATCAGTAGTAGTGGGAGTAGTAGTAGTAGTAGTAGCAGTAGTAGTAGTAGTATCAGTAGTAGTGGGAGTAGTAGTAGTAGTAGCAGTAGTAGTAGTAGTAGTGGTAGTAGCAGTGGTATCAGTAGTAGTGGTAGTAGCAGTGGTAGTAGCAGTAGTAGTAGTAGTAGTAGTATCAGTAGTAGTGGGAGTAGTAGTAGTAGTAGTAGTAGTATCAGTAGTAGTGGGAGTAGTAGTAGTAGTAGTATCAGTAGTAGTGGGAGTAGTAGTAGTATCAGTAGTAGTGGGAGTAGTAGTAGTAGTAGCAGTAGTAGTAGTAGTATCAGTAGTAGTGGGAGTAGTAGTAGTAGTAGTATCAGTAGTAGTGGGAGTAGTAGTAGTAGTAGTATCAGTAGTATCAGTAGTAGTGGGAGTAGTAGTAGTAGTATCAGTAGTAGTGGGAGTAGTAGTAGTAGTAGTAGTATCAGTAGTTGGGAGTAGTAGTAGTAGCAGTAGTAGTAGTAGTAGTATCAGTAGTAGTAGTAGTAGTATCAGTAGTAGTGGGAGTAGTAGTAGTAGTAGCAGTAGTAGTAGTAGTAGTAGTATCAGTAGTAGTGGGAGTAGTAGTAGTAGTAGTATCAGTAGTAGTGGGAGTAGTAGTAGTAGTAGCAGTAGTAGTAGTAGTAGTAGCAGTAGTAGTAGTAGTAGTATCAGTAGTAGTGGGAGTAGTATTAGTAGTAGTAGCAGTAGTAGTAGTATTGGTAGTAGTATCAGTAGTAGTGGGAGTAGTAGTAGTAGTAGTAGCAGTAGTAGTAGTATCAGTAGTAGTGGGAGTAGTAGTAGTAGTAGTAGTATCAGTAGTAGTGGGAGTAGTAGTAGTAGTAGCAGTAGTAGTAGTAGTAGCAGTAGTAGTAGTAGTATCAGTAGTAGTGGGAGTAGTAGTAGTAGTAGTAGCAGTAGTAGTATCAGTAGTAGTGGGAGTAGCAGTGGTAGTAGTAGTAGTAGTAGTAGTAGTGGTAGCAGTAGTAGTAGTAGTAGCAGCAGTAGTAGTAGTAGCAGTAGACGTATCAGTAGTAGTAGTAGTAGCAGTAGTAGTAGTACTAGTAGTAGTGGTAGTAGCAGTAGACGTATCAGTAGTAGTAGTAGTAGCAGTAGTAGTAGTACTAGTAGTAGTGGTAGTAGCAGTGGTATCAGTAGTAGTGGTAGTAGCAGTGGTAGTAGTAGTAGTAGTAGTAGTAGTTTTAGGAGTAGTAGTAGTAGTAGTAGCAGTAGTAGTAGTAGTATCAGTAGTAGTGGGAATAGTAGTAGTAGTAGTATCAGTAGTAGTGGGAGTAGTAGTAGTAGTAGCAGTAGTAGTAGTAGTATCAGTAGTAGTGGGAGTAGTAGTAGTAGTAGTAGCAGTAGTAGTAGTAGTAGTAGTATCAGTAGTAGTGGGAGTAGTAGTAGTAGCAGTAGTAGTAGTAGTAGTGGTAGTAGCAGTGGTATCAGTAGTAGTGGTAGTAGCAGTGGTAGTAGCAGTAGTAGTAGTATCAGTAGTAGTGGGAGTAGTAGTAGTAGCAGTAGTAGTAGTAGTATCAGTAGTAGTGGGAGTAGTAGTAGTAGTAGTAGTAATAGTAGTAGTAGTAGTATCAGTAGTAGTGGGAGTAGTAGTAGTAGTAGTAGTATCAGTAGTAGTGGGAGTAGTAGTAGTAGTAGTAGCAGTAGTAGTAGTAGTATCAGTAGTATCAGTAGTAGTGGGAGTAGTAGTAGTAGTATCAGTAGTAGTGGGAGTAGTAGTAGTAGTAGTATCAGTAGTAGTGGGAGTAGTAGTAGTAGCAGTAGTAGTAGTAGTAGTATCAGTAGTAGTGGGAGTAGTAGTAGTAGTAGTATCAGTAGTAGTGGGAGTAGTAGTAGTAGTAGTAGTAGTGGGAGTAGTAGTAGTAGTAGTAGTATCAGTAGTAGTGGGAGTAGTAGTAGTAGCAGTAGTAGTAGTAGTATCAGTAGTAGTGGGAGTAGTAGTAGTAGTAGCAGTAATAGTATCAGTAGTAGTGGGAGTAGTAGTAGTAGTAGTAGCAGTAGTAGTAGTAGTATCAGTAGTAGTGGGAGTAGTAGTAGTAGTAGCAGTAGTAGTAGTATCAGTAGTAGTGGGAGTAGTAGTAGTAGTAGTAGTATCAGTAGTAGTGGGAGTAGTAGTAGTAGTAGCAGTAGTAGTAGTAGTATCAGTAGTAGTGGGAGTAGTAGTAGTAGCAGTAGTAGTATCAGTAGTAGTGGGAGTAGTAGTAGTAGTATCAGTAGTAGTGGTAGTAGTGGGAGTAGTAGTAGTAGTAGCAGTAGTAGTAGTAGTATCAGTAGTAGTGGGAGTAGTAGTAGTAGTAGCAGTAGTAGTAGTATCAGTAGTAGTGGGAGTAGTAGTAGTAGTAGTAGTAATAGTATCAGTAGTAGTGGGAGTAGTAGTAGTAGTAGTATCAGTAGTAGTGGGAGTAGTAGTAGTAGTAGCAGTAGTAGTAGTAGTATCAGTAGTAGTGGGAGTAGTAGTAGTAGTAGTAATAGTAGTAGTAGTAGTATCAGTAGTAGTGGGAGTAGTAGTAGTAGTAGTATCAGTAGTAGTGGGAGTAGTAGTAGTAGTAGTAGCAGTAGTAGTAGTATCAGTAGTATCAGTAGTAGTGGGAGTAGTAGTAGTAGCAGTAGTAGTAGTAGTATCAGTAGTAGTAGTAGTAGTAGTAGTAGTGGTAGTAGTATCAGTAGTAGTGGGAGTAGTAGTAGTAGTAGCAGTAGTAGTAGTAGCAGTAGTAGTCGTAGTAGCAGTAGTAGTAGCAGTAGTAGCAGCAGAAGCAGCAGCAGGAGTACTCTTGGTGACCCTCAAAAATCATACACTGCGGTATATCGTCTCATTGGATTGATTCAGTCTTTTAGGCTCCCGGCGTGCTCAAGTACTCATTGCCCTCCACCAGCCCGACCTGCCAGATGTGGAAAACCCATGGTTTAACCCTAGGAAAATGATCTACATTCATGGTGGCAAAAACCACATCGAACTGTTAGTTTACAGGAGGGTAACTGTCTTATTTTTTTTAAAGGATGTACATATATATATATATATATTTATATGTATTAGATATGTATGTACCAGTAGTACCGCACAAGGCGGTGGCGGAAGTTTCAGAATAGGAAACCTATAGGAGACGTTGGTTGTTGTGAATCACGGATGGCAGAGCGAATCCACTGATTGACCGAAAATTGGTTGGAGTTGTGTTTGCTGGAGTGGTTGCAATGGTTCCAGTGGTCACCTCACCCACAACTGCTGGATGTAGTGTGATGTACTGCAACTGTAGTTGTAGTTGTAGCGTAGTGGAGTTGTAGTTGTGGTGTAATGTAATTAGTGTAGTGTAGTTGCAGTCATATAGTTGTAACTGTAGTTGTTTTGTAGTTGTAGTTGTAGTTGTAGTAGTTGTAGTTGTAGTTGTAGTTGTAGTTGTTGTTGTAGTTGTAGCTGTAGTTGTTGTGTGGTTGTAGTTGTTGTGTAGTGTAATTGTAGTAGTAGTTGTTGTTGTAGTTGTTGTAGTTGTAGTTGTTGTTGTTGCTGTTGTTGTAGTTGTTGTTGTTGTTTTTGTCGTTGTTGTTGTTGTTGTAGCTGTAGTAGTTGTTGTTGTAGTTCTAGTTGTAGTTGTTGTGTAGTTGTAGTTGTAGTTGTTGTTGCTGTTGTTGTTGTTGTTGCTGTTGGTGCTGTTGTTGTTGTTGTTGTCGTTGTTGTTGTTGCTGTTGTAGTTGTTGTAGTTCTAGTTGTAGTTGTAGTTGTAGTTGTTGTGTAGTTGTAGTTGTAGTTGTAGTTGTTGTAGTTGTAGTTGTTGTGGTTGTTGTTGTTGCTGTTGCTGTTGTCGTCGAAGTAAGGGTAGTTAAGTTAGTGAAGTTAGTTAAGTTAGTCAAGTTAGTTAACTTAATCAGTGTCTACTTTTTCGACATCTTAACGTCAAAAAAGGCTCAAAGCCCTCAGTTTTTTACACTTTTGACTTCGAAATGTGCTTCACGCCACAACGGCGTGCACTTTTTCGACACTTTTTCGACATCTGAACCTCCAAAAGTGGTCCGAGACCGTCAGTTTTTAACACTTTTGACTTGGAAATGTGCTTCGCGCCACAACGGCGTGCACTTTTTCGACATCGGAACTTCCAAAAGTGGTCCGACCATGGTGTGCTTTGCACATTTTGACTTCAAAATGTGCTTCGCGCCACAACGGCGTGCACTTTTTCGACATCTCAACTTCCAAAAGTGGTCCGACCATGGTGTGTTTTGCACATTTTGACTTCAAAATGTGCTTCGCGCCACAACGGCGTGCACTTTTTCGACATCTCAACTTCCAAAAGTGGTCCGCTCCTCTAGTGTTTTGTCCATTTTGACTTGGAAATGTGCTTCGCGCCACAACGGCGTGCACTTTTTCATGTTTCATCTGGCCAGCTGGCTCCGCACCCGCCGCTTTAGCGAGCCTACTTTTCGACCCTCCGGAGCCACAAATCATTGGAAAAACACAGTGAATCGCGACTTTCCTATACCTTTTCGCGCACCTGCATCTTCTTTCTTCTGATCTTTTCTCTTCTGACTCTTTTCACCTCTGCTTTTCAACTGTCCATATTGTCGGAAGTTTCACTTCTAAACTTCCTTCGATTATATATATATATATACCTGGCCAGTCCTTGAGCCGCATAATTTTAGATCTTTGTGGATTTTCGGGTGCGGGCCTAAAAATCACTTTTGGGTTAAGAATGATGGATTCAGTGACACAGTTTTGGTGTCAAAAAATTGGTCTTTCGCGTCTTTTCTGCGTCATTTTGCGTCATATTTTTGTTCCTTCCAAATGTGACTGACAGAGGGCAAAATCAGCAATTGTTCGATTTTTGGTCGCTCACTACTTTTCAGTCCAGACCAAAAAAAATGCAGCTTTTGGATGTCCAGGTATATATATGTATATATATATATGTATATATATATATAACGATAATCACATGATAAAACAATGGTTTATGGGGTGAAGCTAAACTGCTTGGAAAATTTCGAGCGTCGGATCATCACCTTTTTGGATCGACCGGAGGCCTTGAGGAAAACCGAGTTGATCAGGAGTTGGCCATCTTCAGCCTGGTTCCCCAAACTATGGGAATCTGGAGAAATCAATGGAACTATACAGGACTTGGAAGAACCATATATCTACACTGGAAAACAAGACCAGAGAAAACAATAGACATAATATATATATATATACATATATAGAAATCAAAGGACTTTTGACCCATATATCTGCACATAATCCCAACAGTATCTTTCGTAGGATCATCTTATAAGATACATTGCCTCAAAATGAAATCTGTATCTTCAAAATATTGTACAGTACCTCAAAACCTCAAAATGTCGAAGCTTTCACACATGAGTTGTTTGCATTTGCTTGCCCAATTTTAGGTACTGTTACATTACCGTGTTCTTTTAATCATGTGTATATATATATATATTTGCGGCATGCATGTTGTTTTGCACAGTCTTCCCACATGCACCAATGTTGGTATCTTGCTAATTCTCACCAAATGGGTCCAAACATGAGTTAGTTGCATCATTCGTATCGTAATTGTCATCAATTCATGCCGACAGTTCATAGGAGAGTCATGTTCTAAAGCATGGTATTTTTAGGCTACCACATTCTCACGCAAAGTAAAATTCTGGTCGACCAAGCCGGCCGAGCCAAACCTTATGCACAAGCTGCATCTCCATATCAAAACCTCAGGGCGGGCTGAAAATTCACCCACGTTGTAGAGCGGGCAAGACAAACCCCAGGGATCAAACATGATATCTGGTAACATAACATTGGAACACTGTGTAGGAATGACAAGCACATATGTTAGTATCATCTTGTATATCAATAATGCTTTTATTGTAATGTTAGTATCAGAAAATAAAAATCATTCAACATCTTATACTTGCTGTCTATGAACCTACAATATAGTATTAACATGACTGATGTCGCATTAGGAATTCCATATTATTGTTCAAACAACTATTGGTACAGAACACATATATGACTCGCGATGAGGTCATAGAGCAATGAACAAGTGAACTACATGTCTGGAACAAACGCCGAACTCGGTCATTCTGTGCGGTCATTCTGTGCTGACTCTCCAACCGATCTGGATAAAATTAACCCTCAATCCAAAACCTGAGTTGTTCGGCACGTCTTGGCTTAAACAGGAAGATTCCCTGAACATAGATCATTCAATTTAAGGCTCACTGTTGTACTTCAGGTGGCTACAAAAACTCTACCGTATCTACCGTGACCCTCAAGTTAAGCATCATAGTTTAGCGCGAGAAAAAGACAACAATTATGGGAATTCAATGGAATTCAGACATATTCAAAGTGACGATGAGTCTTTGCCTGAAATAGTGACCACCTTGTAGCCAATTTTTTGTCAGTCTCCAAGGTCCTTGGGCCACAACTCTGTCCATCCAGGCTGTTTTCGGAGGGCGAAGTGAACTCCATCTTCTGCCTTGGCTCTAAAGCGCTGGATTCAGGGTATCAAATGGGACAATATGGGACTAACATGATTTGGAAAGAACATAACTCAACCAACTTAACCAAAATGGAGAAATTCAACTACAACATATTGAGATATGAGATTTAGTGGGATTACAATGATTATAATGGCATTAATAGGATTTGCCCTCTGGTGTTACTGTATCAAACATGGCTGACTCGAAAATCCACGAACTACACATCGAACGAAATGGTGGATTTTCAATCGCTTTGTTTGATTACCGGAGGATAATGAATTTATAACTATAGGGTTATAACCTACTTGCTAACTGCAAATACGCTCCCTACTTTGTCCACATGGAATCCAAAAAATGCCTAAACATCCAATAGAAAAACTGGATCTCCCAGACCCGCAGTTTATCCGTGAAGATGGGACAAAATGGGCATTATATATATATATATATTATATATATATACATATTATATATATATATATACACGTATGATTATTCATAATTATATATACAGTAGTACCAGTATGTTTTAATTCAAAACTTGCTACCTGTGAGCCGTTTTCATGGGTCCTTTGTGCAGCTGCCATTTTCATTGTGATGACTTGAACGATGAAGAAATTTCCGCAAATCGAAGCGCAGGGCCCAGAACACCCTCGCGAAACAGGGATCCAAACTAAACTTCAGAAGCTAAACAAAAGAAAACTGAGGAAACCGTACCTCCAACTTTTCCTTCACTCATTTTTGTTTCTTACCGGTACCGCCAGGAATCTCCTGCCCTCAACAGTGCTGAGTTGGTCGCAAGAAATATTTCTTTCCATTTAGGAAGGTCAACACCGTACTTGTGTCGTATGGTGGTGTCAGCATCACCTGCGACGGTGAAGGCGAAGGGTCTGTGGTACCAAGTGGATACTCATTTGCAGCTTCTTTGAATTGTGACTCAACCCATGACCAAAAAATGGATCATCATCATCATCATCATCATCATCATCATAATTTGTATTTATATACTATTTATTACTATCATTATCATCCTAGATTGGAAACAACACATATCTGAAGCTACCCACCAACTAATCATACTGATCTCTTGGTCCACGGGTTGAGTTCAGGTCGGTCTCTTCAGACCTTCTGGTTGTAATTACCAATAAGATCCAATAAGGATCAATCATAAGCACCATCAAGATCCATCAAGTACCAAAAAATCTGCAAAAAACCTTGGTTTTTCCTTCCAGGTCACGTCCCGGTCGCCTGCCAGCCCCTAGGCGTCGTGCCGAGGAAAACATTCACCAACGGCCTGGCTGGTGGACGTCCTCGACCCTTGAGAAACCATCCGAAAGTCACGAAACATGCCGGAAGGTCCATGTGTAGTTCCACATTAGCCCACTAAATGTGGAAACATGCCCACCTTAGTGCGAGTCTAAGCGAGTGATCTCTGCCCAGGTCCTTTCTGTGGCTTTCTGTGGCAAGTCGCAAAAAAAAAGGATCTGCTGAAAACGCAACACTTGTCTGCTCAGAGGTCACTTCAAGCAAATTCCATAACTTTTGTCAGGCTGAGTTGCCGGCTGGTTGTCAATGGGAAGGTGCCCTGGTCTATTGCACTTGCAGAGACCTTGGACGCACAGAAGTCAACCTCAGAATCAGACCTTGTAACTTCTTCATCCTTCAGTATCCACCAGGGAACCTCTTTGCATCCAGGCACATCTTTCAAAACATATCTCCAGGATCTCCAGCTGTTGCATCTGAGGCTAAAAAAAATCCGCAGCATTGCACAAGAAGTCCCACGCAGCAGTGCTGTTTTGCCCCCCAGGCGACATGATTTTGCTATGGCATGTGCCACCCAAATTCCGACTCAAATCTGTGAGCAGCAAATCCAGCTGCTCGAAGGAAGCAGGTGGATTCACGATGATCACCGAGGACCTGTCGAGGTTTCTTACATTCGAACAGCAGAGTGGGTCACCCAAAAAAGGTGAAAGTCATTTCGGGTTGAGGAACCCAAACTGGGATGGAAAACAACTACACTTGGAATTTGGAATCAGCAATTGCCGATGTTTGCCGTATGTTTTGCTGGTGGCATCTTGGACTGTCTTGGATCTTTGAACTTACACTTTCGATCACTTGAGCCGCCCGAGAATCAAACTAAAGGCGGTGAAATATTCCATTGAAACATCATCCAACCATCCGCAACGTCAACCCAGGATCAATAACCCCCTAGGCAGCTGAAAAATGGGAGGGTACCACTGAAGTATCAGGTTATCACTCCCTGCAGGGTATCCCTTGAAATATCCTATAATAAACCGTGGTTTATGAATCTGGCTTTGACACTACAGGATTCTCTTCCACAACTCACAACCATCTGCTCGAAGGTTTCAGATACTCCAAAGCGGATCGATATGGACATTTGCCAACCCCTCGGCCGTGCCGTGGAGACATCTGCCATCTCTCATCAAGGTTTATCGATGGTAGGGCTACGATATGATTCTCTAGTCCCATATATAATAAAATATCCCCGACTATAATAACTATAGATCCTTATAATCTTATATAACTTATATATATATATATATATATAACATATCCCCCAGCTTAGGCCGTGGCGCAGGTCGGTCCAAGGTCCCGGACCTTGATGTGGCGGTTTGCAGCTCGGCCACTTGAAGTTCGCCCAGCTGCATAGCTACCAGGCGAGCATGAAGGCGAGTCCTGATGATTGATGATGTAAATTATATTGAGATATAGATATAGATATAGAATGATATAGATATATGATATATTATGTAGGTACTATATATAATCTATATAGATAATGAAAAAAATGACTGTACATACTGTATTATATATAGATATAGATATAAATGATGATATATACCACTTGGGATATATTACTATAGTCCTGATATATAGAATGATATAGATATATTGTGTAAATGGATATAATTTACGGTATCTATATATTGGAATATTCTATGTATATGTATAGTTATAGTCAGTGTACAGCATCTACAGGATGTGACCAGTTACATGTACTAGTAATGTATAGTGTAAATATATGTAAATATATTGTCACCACTTTTATAAACGGAATTATCCAGCTGCTGGGAAGGATGCTGGGAAGGATACTGACCCCTAAGTTCCATGGTTCCAAGACATCCCCAAGTCACCGGACCGAGCTTCGTATGTTCTTCCGATGCAAAGGGATGCCAAAGCAAAACAGAACCTGGTCGCTGCTTGAGCTACACAAGTGAAAAAACAATTATTAATTGGATCTTAATCATTATATAAATGATTTAAATGTCATTACGGATCATTGAGGATCATCCTCCCGTTTCTTGGGGGCATTTAAGCAAAACAAGTGCAAAACTTGTTTTGCATCCTCCCATTTCTATCCATTTCTTGGGATGCAACTTCAAACATACTCTAAAGATCTCTAAAGTACCAACTACATGCACTAGTCATATCTTCCCCAAGAGTCATGGTGGCTGATGGTTGATAACTTCCTCATCCTTGGGAGAGAAGTGTTGACAATCCAAGCAACTGTCTGTCCATCGTTCCCGTATCTGCTTCACTAAGTACAAATTCCACCTGTCCGAACTGCTGGCGGAATCATAGGGTGGATCGATCAGTGCCAGGACTCGGCTCCCCCTTGGGATTTCCAAATCCTCAGAGAACCAGCGGTAGCAACTGCCACAACAAACGCGGGTCGCATGCAAAGGCCCCAAGGGCCCCAAGGGCCGCAGATTTTCTTCCAACGCTTGGGCGACTGGGGAAGATGCTTCGAAGAGGAGCGAGGCATCTTGGGGCCGGAGGAAGTGCTGCGCAATGACGGGTGAACCCAAATAGCAATGGCCAATGTCTGCAAGGCGACCTGTGACGTTCTGCACTTTCTGCAGTCTCAGGTAGTCTCGGAGACTTCTGGATCTCACGTCTTTGGTGGCCAAAGTCACAACTCCTCCTTGATGGTTTTGAAATCTCTTTGCCTCAGGTGAGTTCAAGTCATAGATGCCAGTGCCCGAGTGAGTGTCGATATACACAAAAGGTCTGGCATCTTGCACAAACTCCGTCAGAGCATAGACTAAGATCGAATGCTTCAGGCAATCTGCCGGAGATCCTTCCATGGTTCCCGCCCAAGGCCCTGATCTTTGCAGGTTCAAACCTGGCTGACACCACAACCTATGCTACTCCTTGGGGATTTGCCACCCCCAAAGCATCAGAATGGCTCAATTGGTTCAATAATGTTCAATACACATCACAAGAGAATGTAAAGGAAAAGAGACACTCTGAAAATGTTGTACCCCATTTCATCCACTGGTTAATCATCATGTTCCCTCTTAAAATGGACGTTTGGGAATATATATATATATATATGAATATATCCCATCTTCAGATACAGCATTTCTTCCTATGGCAACGGGTCCAGGTCGTGAAATCTTCCGGACCATGGAAAGGTAAATGCATCGTAGCAGGTCCTGCTTGATAGTAGTGGACGTAGTCAATGTCGTTGGTGGTCCACTCATCATAGCCACCTCGGATGATCTTTGTTTCTGGCTTCAATCCCCATCGAGGCAAAACCACACATGTTTTTCCTGCTCATCTTGTAACAAATCCTAAACCATGCTCGAACTGGCATGTTGAGCTATCTGATTCCAAATCACCGATTCCAACATGGTCCAACGGCATAATTTCTTCATGGAACATGTTCCAATCCAACATTTATCTCGTGGTCACGAAACTAAATTCTTGGCTCCAACTGGCTCTCCATTTTGTTTCAAGCATGTGGATACCCCAAACGCTCACCTCACCGCTCCCTCTCACCACTGGATAGATTAAACATGATTAAACATATTAAAACTGGTTTTCAACCATCTCCAAAGTTGAAGTGGTGAACATCACTTCAGCAATAGAAAAATGATGAAACATGCCAGCCCCCACCTTCAATCACCTCCTCTAGCAACTGCAGGGTGGTCATCCATTGCTCCGTTTTCGTCTCGGAGGCTTCCAGGGCTGCGGTGTAGCTGATGGCCTGGGTTGCCAGTGAGGCCTCGGCCCAGCCCGAAATGGTGAAAGTGCTCAGATTATGGGGTAAACCAGGGTAAAATACCAGATTAATTAACAGAATTATATATTTTTTTAGGGATACTTGGAGGGTCTAGGTAGCTGGGCAAAAACAGAGCTGAGTTGTTTGGGGAAGTGATAGTACGGGACCCAACAGTTGGCCAACAGCTGGCCATATTATGGATGTAAGCAGCCCGAAACCATCTAATGACCTTTCCATTTAGGGCTTGATGTTCGTACACCTTGAACAAATCACAATTCACGGTTTAAGTTTGGATCCATTCCCAACTAGGTATGATTAGGGATATGATCTGGCGGAATCATAAAAAAGCAGACCAGACAATAACTGAAGTAAGGATGCCATTTGGGAGGATTTCCCATACCAATCATCATTCCAGTGACGTCGACGTCACAGTGAGCAAGGTCATCATAAATTGATATGATATATAAATAATATATATATATATTATATATTATGTACATATACAACCCTATCATGGGACATCCCGAACTTGCCTGAGTCTCAAACGGCATTCCAACAATGAGCAATTTCAGAGTATCAGGCTGCAAACATTTTGGGGTTGGCAGCTGACAATTTCAATGGCTGCCAGTGCCCTCAAAAGATCCAACGGTCACCTTGCATGGCGATATTCATCTGGGAAAATCCCCAGCCATCACCATGGCTTTGAATATTGAAATGGTTATGAGTTACCCTCTGGTAAACTAACATAGCTATGGAAAATCACCATTTTCAATGGGAAAATCCACTAATAAATCACCATTTTCAATAGCTATATGTTAAATTACCAGAGGGTATGACATGTTATGACTTGGATAATGCAAGGGGGTACCCCCATGACTTAGGCTATGCGGCATCTGCCAAGATCTGCTTGAGGCTCATGGTCTCCAGCACATCCAGCGCCAAGGCCCACTGCTGACCCTTGTCGCAGGCGTTCAGCAAAGCGTTGCAGGAAATGAGGTCAGCACGAATTTCATGGGACACCTGCATGGGGCTAGCAAGAATAGTTGAGGGTGCAGTCGGGCTTATTAATGGCTATAACTATGGTATACTATGGTATTAATTCACCTCCATAAATTCTATGGCTACATAACCTGCTCAAGTGGAACTGCACCCCCAAGTAAGGCAAAAAAGATCAACAAGGCTGACAGTACGAGTACTGCAGTGATAAGGCCACACATCTCCCTGATCCAATCAGCCCTAAGGGAGCCAGGTACCATGTCATGAAATAAGGAGAATGCAGCAGCCCAAGCGGACGCTTTGCTACACGCGCTGATGGCCGCATTGAATGCTGTACTCCTGCAGTTCTCTTGAAAGCTCTTGGGGGATTGAACTTTCGCTGATAACTTAGCTGAGGGTTGGAATCAATCAGAAAAAACAAGCAGGTGAATGACTTCCAATGCTTTCGAGCAGTGGTCTGGATGCAAACAGCAGCTTCCCGGGAAGTTCTTCTTTCATAGCTATGTCAAACAGTGGAAGTTTCTGAGAAGAAAAACACTCGACAAAAACATGCGTAGGAGAACGGTTTTCATTTTGTACACATGGGTATGGATCAATACCTATTAATACCATTTTTAGGGGAATGAACATCCATTTACCAGCTATTTTGATGTGAACTACAGGGGTACTATTGGTTTTGACACACTGCCACATCATTGGCAACCCCTTGGGACTAACAAGCCACAAGCCACGGTTCCAACAGTCATCCAAGGCGAACCCCCAGCTGAACATGGGACCATGACCCATATTGTCAATGGGAATTTCCCATTGATATCAGGCCTTAGACAAAAAAGGTAGATTATGGTAGGTACCTCCAATATCTGGGATCCTGAAATTCCCATTGATATCAGTTGTTTTTAAACGGACGGTCCCATTGAAACATCACCCATTACGAGCATCACTCCATCGCGATCCATCGCGCCTTCCCGACGGGAGCTGCGTGAGCACGTGCAGCGCCGACTCCCAACAGGCACTTTTTTCGCAGGCTCCGATAGCAGCCTTGGGCGACGGGCGACCTGTGGGATCTCTAAATCAACAGCCATAAAAAGATAGGTATGGATTACATTAATTATGTGACCCATTGTGAACCCAATTTGCTTCTTTTCTTTTGATGGGTTAATCTGTACTTTAACCCTCAATTTTTACTCATGAAAAATGGTACAGGATTACAAAGGCATCAATTTCGGTGCAACACACCACCGATGTGTTTCTTTGGAGTGTCGATTGGTAAGAAACAACTGAAAAATGATCATTCTGAAACACATACCTTCCAAGAATGATGGATATCCCAAGACTATATAACCAAATTCCAAAAGGCAAACACACCCACACATTATCTGCCCACAGCACGGAGGAAAAAAGGACTGGTGGGGCCCAGGCTTGACAACATGGCCCCACATGGCATTGGTTTATTGGACATCCATTTGAGTACCTTCACCAATTCCAGCACAAGTCATAACGAAGAAAACATTTAAAAAACATAGTACCCATGCCCCGCATCTTCACAGTTTAATGTCGAATGTATCAAATGTACTGTAAGATGTTGCGTTTCCGTGGTTTCGATCACTTGACCATGTCGTTCAAAAAGTAGGCGGTATCAACCACTATTACATCTATCAACCAATACCCACCCATCATTAACCATCATTAACCATGATTAACATGATCATACGCTACTTATATCATTGTTTCTGACAGGTGACAGCGAAGGTAATGGCATCAAGCTGCAGGCTCTTCACGGTTGCCTCCTCTGGCTCCCAGTGGTTATGGATAGATTGCCATCATCCCCAGAAAAAAAAAACTCAAAAACAAACAAGGGACATATGGAAATGCCAACCTCATTTATTGGTAATCTTAGAGGAGATAGTTCATCCCTTTTATCACTGCTATTTATGTATATATATATAACTATATATATAATTATATATATAATTATATATATAATTATATATATAATTATACATATAATTAAATAAATATTATATATATATATTTATAAGGGCCATAACTCCGCCATGTCCTCCAAAGAATGCAATGCCGATTTCCAATGGCCGATGCTCCCAAGGCCCGAAATGAGCGATGCAGCTGTGGCTTGATCTTCGGCCACTCCTCGGTGTCTTATCCTTTTCCTCCTCACCATCACCACCAGCATCCAACATCATCCAACATCATCCAACCAGGTATTCCCATCCCCCAAAAAAATCTGGCTGCGTAGGCACGAGTTGATGCCATGTCTTCCACCAACTGCATGGCCTTCACCCAGCTGGCCGCCATGACAGCCCCCAGCAGCACGTTCTGCGACTCCAGCGGCTCCACCGAACGCAGGAGATGCAGGGCAGATGGCCAGGCGGAACGGGCGGAACGGCAGCAGGAGATGGTGGAAGTGAGAACAGGAGCGACCTTCAGGGCGATTCAGAATCGCTAGGATGGACGATTGATGATATGATATCTATGTGGTCATATTGTTGGGAGATCTGTGAAATGTATAGTTGATGGTCTATGTTTTGGGGGAGACTCTGTGGACATGTTGGGAAAATTGATGATTATCATACTATTTATCTAATTTAATGAATCTATGACATGTTGGGAGTAAGGAGTGACACCATTTTTTCAGCGTCAAATACACAGATTGGTGGTCTGGGACAGCATTTTCAGTGAAAATATGCATACGGTACCTACTGTTGCACCCTTTGAGTCTTCCAACAGTGACATCCTGCAACAGAAACCTCAGTTTGGGATAGCATTAACTATAATTTACGCAAATGGATCGTGAAAACGGGTTGGTACAACCCTCATGTTTTGTGATAAATCAATGCCTCCAGCGCCCGTTGCTGCATCTGAAGAACTAATGCTAGGGCTGTTGGCCACCTCAGGGTTTCAGGCCCAAACAAGACCAAATATCTCAACAAAACAAACATGTATCCCAGGGTAAACTAACATAGATGCAGAAGACCCCTGGGGAAACCCATGGGAAAATGATCTACAAATTGTGTTTCTTTTCCACATCTATGTTAGTGTTTACCCATGTCTACTCTAGGGTAGTTGAAGGGACATCAAAAACATTCAAAAACCATATACTTTGATTTCCCTACCAAACCTTGACCCAGCTATCAAAAAATCCTATCCGAAAAGAATCGAACAAATCAACCCAGCCTTGGTGAGAAGCATACCGATTCGATATCCCCCTTTGTATTAAGTGAAAGGGTTGGTGTTGACAATTTTATAGTGATAAATCAGGAGGACATGACCCCCCTTTCTGAAAATGCATCTATAGAATCAGAGACCCCAAGGTATTTTCAAGTTGACAATCTCTATAGAATTGATGTCGCCAAGTCACTCTCGTAGATGGTTGGGGGGGTTAGTTGGCCTTCTATAAAATCAGGCTCCCCAAGTCTCCTTCATTGACAGCTGACCTGAATGCTCCAGTTACTCTTGCCTATCTTGCCTTATGCACTTCAATTTTATAGGCGGAAAGGCGGGAAGGCTGGCTCGAGGACTTCGACCCAAAAACGGTGAGACACACTGGGGAGACACAACGGGGAGACACAACGGGAAAATGATACAAAATGAAAAATGTAATTTCTATAGTTTGTAAACCAGAAAAAACTGCTTTTGTAAGATATTGAAATGTCAAAATTGTACATATTTGCTGAATATAACTGATGATAACTGATGAAACCCTGATGATGGATCTCCAACAAATCTCCAATATATCCCAAAAGTATCCAAAAGTTTCCAAAAATATATCAAGATTCCAAATGATTCCAAAATATACAAGATGATCAAGGATGATCAAGGATGATCAAGGATGATCAAAGAATTGTTGTGGGAAATTGGTTCTGCCAATACTTCTCTATAAAATTGAAGAACATAACATACATCCAAAAAAACATATCCCACTATAGAATCGTAGTCCCTAAGACTAGTCCTCAGTGCTGTATTCAGCATGAATTCTCTATAGAATTGAGGCCCCAAGGTCCTCTATAAAATTGTAAGCGTTGACGTTGGGTAGGTACCCCTTATTAAGTCAGGGGGTTAAAATGCACCATTTTCCTGGCCCCAACGTTCTCAATTCTGTAGAGGAAATTCCAAGGGGGATGATTCGATGTGGATTTCCCCACCATGAATGGAGATCATTTTCGGAACGGCTTTCCAGATTGGTTTTCCATATCTTCTATGTTCACCCTAGGGGAAATCCACTACCCTCTGGTTATTTAACATAGCCATGGAAAATGGACCATTTATAGATGATTTTCCCATTGAAACCTCCATTTACAAGGGAATTTCCATGGCTACGTTAAATAACCAAATGGTAAATCATCATTTTCCCAGGGAAAATCACCATTTTTCCGAAGGGAAATCACCATGGGTCCACCTCTGTGCGGAGATTGCAGAGCTGAAGATGATGCTGTTCAGCTGCAGCTGCTGCTGAGAAGCATCCTAAAGGGAAGGCACTACGAATCGTTCCCTATGAAAAACGGTGTGTTTCCTAATTTTCCTATATAAAATCATAGCAAGTCATATCAAATCACAGTGAATCATATGGGTCGCAGAGTGAAATCATATGAAATCCATTGAACACATATACCATCTGGTTATTTAACATAGCCATGGAAAATCCCTTATAAATGGAGGTTTTATTGGGAAAATAATCTATAAATGGTCCATTTTCCATGGCTATGTTAAATATATATATATATACACACACACCCTAATATACCCTATAAATCCAGGTCACATATATGGGCGTCCTTCAACAGATCGATCGGCTCCGCCCAGTAGAGGGCCTTGGAGTAGGCGTTGATCAAAGATCCATAGGAAAAGATGTCCACCGCCTGGCAATGTTGCGAAATATTGCTTAACAATATGATTATGATATTGAATATGTATATATATATACACGCGAAAACTATAAACATGGTCAAACAAGTCTAGACATGGTCTTTTCTTTTGCAGATTATATACGATGAGAATTATATCTTGTACTTTTACTTAGACCAACTACTCATACAAATTCGTAAACCCCCCAGCATGGTAATGGGTAGATTACCTCATTTTTCGAGGGAATTGGAGGGTCAAACGGTACTGGTACCTTCAAAAAGATAGAATTTGGCAAAGTCCGATCCTAAAATAAGTTGGTTTGTAAACCCATTATCTATAAATATATCTACCCAAAACAATGGTTAGCCTAGTATACATGTTACAAACCAAGTTAGCCATGTAGGAGGCCTCTCCACTTTTCTGCATTTTTTGTGGGTGCATAAATAATATCATACCAGATTAAGAAAAAGAATGGTATCTCATGATTCTTCTGGGTTCTATCGCTTACAAATTGGATGTATGCCCTCTGGTAATTCAACATATGAGCCGCCGTCAAAATCAATTGTTGATGCTTGGTACGGAAATATAGGTCATCGCTTTTTTTGGGGGCCCTATCGCTTTACAGTGTGTTGTTCAAATAAACAATAAATAATGCCAAAATGCAGCGGAACGGATTAAGGGGCGCTCTTTGTCTTTGCCTTTGCAACCATGTTGGGGAGCTATCTAAGCACATTGCTAGACTCTTTCAATGGTTCCCAACGGTTATAAGATCACTAATTCTAATTCTAATTCTATGAAAACGAAAAAAACCACCTCGCAATTGTCCTTCTTTGATAACCCATGGCGTCAGAAAACGCCACACTTCCCCGCTCAAAAGCTCTGGAAATTGAAGATGGGACCCAAAAGAACCTGATGGCCTAGGGTTGAGAACCTGTTCGCTTTTGTTGAGTTCTTCTTGTTGGGATCAAATGAATCTATCCCTCATCCGGGGTTCCTTTTTCAACAAAATATTATCACTAGGTTATCGCTACGGTTATCGCTAAATGAGAACACCTTGATGATCAAGAAAGGAAAAGAACAAGGAACGTGGAACCAAAAGGACACTTTGAAAATAAAAGGAAAAGGAAGGAAAGAACGGAAAAGGAAACGAAGGAAGAAGAAAGGACAAATCAAACAAAGGGGAACTACAGTAATATAATGTAATGTAGATGAAATGCAGAGTTGGATTCAAAATGAATCTTGAATCACTTCAGAATTTCAAAAGAAATAAAGGGAACATGGAAGGAAAGACAAAGGAAAGAAAACAAAAGAATAAGAAATTTAAGGTTTAAGTAAAGCACATAAACAGAATTCAGAATTAGATTTAAAAACTATGTTTTAATTTAATCCAGAATTCGGCTGCGTTTAGTTGAGTTTGCTTCTACTGCTTTGGGACCTGGGAGAAAAAACAACTGCCTGCAGAAAGCAACGGTTCCATCACCTTGGACAACAAATGGTATGGCAACTGCAAGAAACGCGGGCACTGCAGGTTGAATTTTGTTCATCAATCTTGCACATCGCGTGAAGGCGCACAGCAATATTTGCTTGGTTTACACTTACACCAAGTTTAATGCACTCTCATTTGGTTACAAGTTATCGCTTTTTTTGGGGGGCCTATCGCTTTACAAGGTGTGGTGCCCTTTCTCAACTCAGCTGGACCCTCCCTTACTAAAGTAGTCTACGCTTATTTTTACCGCATCTCATATGGCTATGAACAATCTTCCATGAAAAAATGATTTACCTGTCACACATTGTGAATGGTGAATTTCAATAGCACACTCTTAGATACTGTTGGATTGCCAGAGTTTAGCAACCATACTTACAAGTCATTTACCATCACTTAACCATAGATATAGATTAAATCACAATTTAACTTTCACCATAGCTATGATAAGTTATCTTGCCAATTAAAAGTTACCTACCAGTGGGTAAATCTCCCCACAGTTGTAGCCCTTAACAGTTGTAGCTGGCTTATAACCTCAAGTGGCGTTGTTCAAATTAGTTGCAGGAGATATAATCTCATTCAGAACTGGCCATAGAGCCATACAGTAACTGCATATGTGTTTAGTATCAACCAGGGGTCCCTGCTCACCTCGAGTTTGGCGTTGCAAAAGAGCTGCAATGCCAAAGACCAGGCGCTTGCCGAAGCACAGGCGCTGATGGCGGCCTTTTTGAACCATCAAACATGACGATATGATTTAGTATATACCCTCCAGCAAATGAACATAGACACTGCCAGATAGGGGTTGGAAGATTAGTTTCCACTAAAAAAGATTATGTTCAGGGTCTTATGTTAATTTACCAGGGGGTGAATCTGTACATAATACAGTAGTAGTAATAATACAATAATACAGCAAATGAGTGTTAAAACATGTAAACATATGTAAACACTGTATAGTATATTATCATTCATTATGATGTCAACACTATTTAACACCAAGATAGATCTGAGGCAGCAAAGGTGGTATGCATCAGTTTGGCAACAATATGTCAACAATAAGTTGAGAAACCATTCAGTAGGAACGTTGGCAGGTGGTTGAATATCCTTTCACTAAAGGAACTGATTCCAGAGCAAATTCAAAGCCAGGGGGCTTCTCCAATATCAACATAAGTTGTGATGAGATCCTTCAAAGCTTGCTATATTTTGCGATTGCTATGGATGATCCATCTGCACAAAAACAAAGTAAAATATGAAACACTGAAATCCATATGGAAGATTATGGAAGAATATTCATTTTCCAGGGTGTTTTCTATCCTGCTGCATTTGTTTGAATGAAAGCTTGTTTAAAACACAGTGAAACCTCCAAAAACAAGCTGCATTGTAGTGGATGACGTTGACATCACCACGAGATCTTTGAACAGCTTCCAAGAGAGTCGCAGCTGCCAAGGGCTTGTGAAGTCTTCCCAACTGGCCTCGGAGCTGGAAGACTCGAGGAGAAGATCAAGTCCCGACCGTCCCGACCCAACAGCCAGTATGCCTTCTGCTAATTTCACATATCTATGTGAGATGGCATGTTTGTACATGATTTACCCATTCAAAATGGTGCTTTTCCATAGCTACGTTGGATTGCCAAAGGGTATTCATACACAAAATAGTCATAAAAATGACATAAATGTGTGAGAAGCTGTGCTGTGGTTCTCTTTCCATCACCAATTTCAATGCAGTGTCCCCGCGGGTCATCCAAGATTTGAAGTCTTAAAGTCTGCAGCCAATCTCACAAAGTACATGAAATGTACGTACATGTACTTACATGTACTTACCACTACTTACCTGTACATGACATAACTTGGCTGTGACCATTTCTCAACAATTCATCCTCATCACCAATCAAATATGTATATTATCATTTCTAGTTAATTAGTAAAAGATCCATTTCTTTCATGGGTGATATACTCATCTTGTCACATCTTATTCCATGAGCACTTTCTGGGACCCCAGGCCTATGCACTTCGTCAAGGCCCTTGCATCCAAGTCCTTGCACAAGTGATCCACCGGCTGATCGCGTGTCACCGCTTGGATGATGCTGTCCATCTTCAGCTTCGCTGATCGCTTGAGACAGAGGGATAGCGGAAGAAATGTCCAGTGCCATGAATGCCAGCGATGACAGGGGGAAAAAGAACTTGGCAAATCAAAGTGCTTCCCAAATCCCAAATAAAATAGTTACCCTCTGGTAATCAAACGAGGCAATGGGAATCCCAGAAGTAAATGGAGGTTTCTAGCTAGGACAATCGACTACAAATATTGGGATTATTGGGGGATTTGTCTTTGCCACGTTTGATTACCGGAGGGTCCTTATGAGATGCTTCTTTGCTTGGAAGATTCCCGGAACCTTACCATCACTTAAGTTCATCATTTACCGGTTTCGTTCAGCCAGTGAGGTCGCTAACATTTTTCAGCATAGCAACGAAGAAGCTGATCTCTCTACATCGCAACGATTCGACTACTTCCAGCAAGTTATCACTCGAATAACAGCAGCAATCTTGGAAACATCTCTGACCTTTGATGTCTTCTCCACTTGACTTGTTCTTTTTCGGTTTGAATAGGCGACCAGGTCGCTTGCCGCGCTGCTCAGAGCTTTGTGAAGGTTCCTTCTTCAAAGCCCATCTCCTGGAAATTATTGAAACAGGAAATGAATGGAATGAATGGAAACTAAAACAAAAGGCTATGAAACTCCAACAAAGTGGACCAATTCTGGAACGATATGCGGTACCCAGAAGGGAAACGTCAAGATTGTTGCATCACACAAAGCATAGATATTTTCATTGTTTTTTTTCAATATCTTCTATGAATTTCCGTGGTATTTCATGGTATCTTCATGGCATTTCCTTTTTTTATTGAGACCATCCCGGCCGTCCTTGTACATGAAAGCATCTCCGCGACCCAAGCTCCAGAGCATATCTTCCCACACTGGGATATGACCTGGGACGATGCGCTGCCTGGAAGCCACCATGAAACTCATGAAAATAGATGATAAACATACATAAAGATCATGATTTACCTAGGAAATCCTAGGAAAATGGTGATGGAACCCATTAGCAGTCAGCTATTATTATGAACATTTACCGATTACAAGCTCAATTTTCAGAAAATCATCGGCTGTACTCCAAAATAAAGGGGTTCCTGTAGATTTCCCCTTCATCTATTTTTGGGAGTAAGCCTGTCTCCAGGAAGCGCCTGCTTTTCAACTCATGTTGGCACACCTTTGGTGATTTCCATATGAGTGGCGGACAAAAATACTTACTATCCGCAATGGACATGGCCAAAGTCCCCTATCGGTTGTGAAGGTTTGTACTTCCGTGCTATGTATGAAAATAGGGTATCGGTAAGTGGGTGGTCCCCTATCGGTTGTGAATGTTTTCGCACAAATTGGACATCCCATGTCCACTCTCCACTACTTTAGTGTTCCGCTAATTTTGACGGTTACTCATATATCCATAGGGTGAAGTTAAATACCAAAACAAGAGAAGGTCAAATTTCAATATGGTATAATAGCAATGTGATTGACACCTTCTCCTTCATAAGTCCTGCCCTAGTTAATCGGGTGTCGTACAATGTCAGTTCCCATCAGCAGTTGTCATCAGCTTGGTCCGTCATGAGCCACGGAACAGTTTCGCACGGTGATGATGCCACCACGCGCCACCAGGAATTGCGCAGCTTTTCCGCAGCCGCCGTGGATGGCACCTCAATCGAACAAAAGCCCAATTTTTTTTCCCCCGAAATTCACACCTCCAGGGCCTGCCAAAGACTGAGCTTCACACAGTCCACTGCGTTGTAGTTCCATAGCACCGGATTGACTTCATTGATGTCCTGCACTTCGCAAGTTGCAGTGGTTAGTACGCCTACGCTTAGCAAGGCCATGAAATTGGACCCCTTTAGGGCTGGACAATGTGATGCAATCACAGTAAGCATGATGTCTACACTTACAACCTGACTACCAGTAAACAGTACTATCGGACTTTGCTTAGAAATGCTTAGAACAGAAAACCCTCCGAACTCGGTGAGTTTCCACCGCCAGCTCGGATTACCCATGAACTGATTAGTTCCATCACCATTCCAGTTCCGTTGGGATTCAGAGAGTGAATAACTAAAAATCATGGATATTCCAAGGTAAGCTGACCTCGTTTACAGCAAAACAAACTTAGTTCCATCTACACTTCACCACCCTGAAGAAACCTACCCATTATTTATTGCAGATATAACACTGATATATAAGCATTTTTTTTTGGTGAAATCCCCACCCAAACCGTCAATTGACAAATGACAAAGAACATCCATGACTCGGGCTGGGTATCAGTCATTATGTTCCCCCATTTATCGCGAAGAAATATCAAGCCTACCATCCAGGAAACTGACAAAAAACTATGGAACAAAGCACAAATTTTTACAATTTTGATAGGTAAATCAACTATTTCTATGGACACTTTTCCATAGATATGATTAGATATGTTAGTTTATCAGAGGGTAAAGTATTTGCGCGTAATCCTGAGTCATTTGACCTGTTGGAAAATTCACGCTGCTTCCATCTCCCCTTTATCAGGGGCTTCTATGTAGATTGCCCAGTGGAACTCCGGGAACAATCAGCAAATCATCGACAAAACGTAACTCCCATCGATACAATCGTTGATGCTCCCATGAAATCCCAGAATAATCCCATTTATTTTCAGCATTTTCCTATACTTTCCCAGATTTTCTCATTTTTCTTCCCATTTTCTTGGCTGAACCTCCCCAGTTTCTCCATGAATCCCTGATTCATGGCCCCACACCTGGCCGTTCTGCAGAAACTCATCGATTCGGGGGATGTCTCCGGCAAAGCAGGCGCCCCACCAGGTGTAGTTGGAACCCGAACTCCTGCCCAGTGAACGACCAACAAACAAACATGGGAAAAAAAAACCTATGGTTTGATGATGAAACCCTATCTTTGTTGTTGATGTTGTCAGTGTTGTTGTTGTTGATGATGATGATGATGATAATGATGATGATGATGATGATGAAGATGATGCTTGACCTTTGAATTACATGTGAAACACCATGTATTTTTGGAATTTAATTCTGATGAAAGTGTTGTACAGTTGTTGATCGTGTTGCACCAATACAAATGCGTATTGCACTATCAACATTTGGGAAACACACACTCATTGTAAATGTCATTGAATGTCCACTTTACATTAAATGGGGGTTTCTTAACATGGGGGATCCCAAAAAACCAAGGGTTTCAGCCTGAGGTAGTCAGCTATCTCCACCTGTCAGCGAATGTCAGGGACCCTCAATGAAAGTGAGGACTTATCTAGGACAAATATCGGGATTTAATGGGGTTTAATAAGAAAAACATGGGGATTTAATGGTGTTTAATGAGAAAAACATGGGGATTTAATGGGATTTAATGGGGTTTATTGAGAAACACATGGGGATTCAATGGGATTTAATCAATGGGACATATGTCAAAAGGGAGATAGTGATAGTTCCCCCCAAAAAAACGACATCTTGATAGGATTTTTATAATCAACCGCTGGATTCTTTGGGATACCCTACTTTCCGGACAACTCCATGCGGCAAAACCCTGTACCCTAGGTGAACATGAAAATAGCTGACAAATGGATGCATCGCGCCGAAAATGGGTCTATTTATAGTGGTATGGACGGTATGGATCCATACGCCATATCTTGGTAAGACATTAAAACTGACAACGAAAAATTATGGAATCCTTCACCAATGATTCCACCTCTGGTCGAGCCACATATTGTCCAGGAAAAATAGGGGGGTCTGGTACACCATTGATTCTCATCTACCTATTTGTTGACTGGAATGCAACCGATCAACGAAGCACTGGGAAAAACCATAGGAGCCACAGATCCAACGCGAGGCACTTGGATCCAAGCTTTCATCGGGACCTTGACTCTTATCGTAGCATGGAAGTCATCGCCGTTCTAGATGATTTACCCGTTCAAAATGGTGGCTTTTACATGGCTATGTGGCTATGTGAGATTGCCAGAGGGCAAATAGCTGTATATTTCTATATTTAATGGCTAAACCAAACACACATGAAAAAACAATACCCCAAAACAAACATAATCCAGTTACTATATATATATATGTATAATACGTGTATGTATATATATATATATACATTGCAAAATATAAATGGCATATATACCAATGTTAACCATAGTTCTAGTTTGTCTTGGACACCAAGCGGCATTTAAACGTTTAAAAAACACACAAGACATCGACTGAGTTGGCCAATCTGGGGGCCTCTTCGTTTGGCCATCGGAATTGCTCCTGGGCTCATCCCTTTGGAATGGGATCAACATGGATGTGCCTGATGATTGGTACAATGTGAGGCCCCCCAGTTATAAGTTGGTTTACAAGCCCCAGTAACTATAGTTATAAGTACCATAAACCATAGTTATTGGAGATATAAACCTGAACAATCGATATACTGGAACTTGATATCCAATATGCAAACGGCTTCTGGTCATGGTTTATCCATATTTATCCTGATTGTTGTCCACTTGCTGGGTGTTTAATAGTGCTTCCGAGCTTTTGGGTCAGTTCACACTTCCTGTATATCACTAGCTGTAGTATGTAGTCAGAGTTTCGTTCTCTAGCATTAAAATCCATAAAAAGGTATAACTTGGGCACTGTTCACAGTGAAGTAGCTACTGTATTTATATATGTTATTTAAATAATGTGCTTTTAACTTATAACCGCACTTAACACATGTTATAAACCGATGTCTGTCCACTTGCAAACTGGTGTCTGATGGCAGTTCCCATAGTGGGTCATAATCTCATAATCGTAATAGTAATAATGCTTGTACATATGTAAGCGGGTATATAGCTATCATTGAAAACAACAACTAAGGATGAAGCCCATGGCAGTACACATCTATAACCGCAATTGCACCACCCGCTAGATAGTATACCATAGTATACCCTCCCTTGATTGAGCATGACGACCCTAGCAAGTAGGGAGTTAGAAGAACACTAAGGCATGCACACATGGATGACTCTCAGTGTCTAGGTTGGTTTTGAGGAGGGTAAGTCCCACTAAATTATATTTAGTATCCAGTCCCGACTATATACCTTCTTCATTTTTCAACGGTAAATCATCCTAAATCATTTAACAAAAATCATAGATCATTGATTTTCATGGGCCATTTTCCATAGCTATGTTAAACAACCAGAAAATCAATCCCATGAATTCACTAGCGAAATCTGCTTCAAAACCTCAGCCCAAAAAGGCGCCTTCCCAGCGTAGTCAATGGCGCGAAAGCCACAGCGCGAGACAGGGCCATCGAGGTCAACGCCTTCAAATTCCACCAGCCACTTGACCAAATGAAACCTGGCGATGGCGCTGATCGTATCTTAGTCTGGGGTTGAAAAAAAACCATGGCAAATATATGTATATATATTTAATAGTGGATAGAACTGATACATGATGCTTGGTAATGTTAAGAACGATTTTCTCAGTGACTCAGTGAGAATACTTGGAAGTATCTATTGAATAGTATAATATATTGGATAGTTAGAACCCCATATAATCCCATGTAAGAATCAACCAACAGTGGTTCTGAACACTGCTCAGATATGTTGGGCTTATGGTGGGGTGAACATCATAGGTATGGGATGCAACACATAGTTTCATGTGTATATATATATATGTGTATATAGTCTTGTATATATATATACAATATATATGTATATATATATATACAATATATATATATATATATATGTGATATCTATAGGAATCTATAGGAATAATGGTTGTTCTTGCATGCAACTGCAATCACTGAGAGTTTTCGTGATGGATGTGCATCTCAGAAATCGTTTTTGTGGTGAACAATGCCGACTCACTAGCTGCATGGTCCATGCACATCCAAGTGGGCCAAAAAAAAGGCTGAGGCAATGGGGATGGGATTGATAATGATTAATATATCAAAAGAACATGGCATTATATATTAAATAAATCATGATATGGGGAATATCATGGAATATCCGAATCATTAATAAAAAACATATCCTGTATTAATAAGGGATTGTAGATCTCATGATATGGGGATTCTGAATACAAATCACTGGAATTCTATTGGGATTATTGGGATGATAGGGATGTGCCACGACCGTGGAGAGCTGTCACGGAACCACCATTTTTGGTGGACTTTTGTCGTTTCAGGGGATTGGTTACAATGTTTATGGCAAGAAAATGCCGGTGAAACCAGTGGCACAATCATGTGGGTTAGCTATGGTTAGCTGTTTTAGCTTTCCATTTAAGGAACTTCGAAATCTGGCACTTGCAGTGCACTTCAGAATTCTGAAGAACTGGGCTGGCTAAATTGTGTTCAGCAGGTGACGTTGACGTAACCTACAATCGAATGATACCAATCCATCTGAAACTGCTTGGTGGTGCAATAACCATCTTGAAAAATATGAGTTCGTCAATGGGAAGGATGACATCCCATATAGAAAATGGAAAACAATCTTTGAAACCACCAACCATCTGAAATGCAGATGACATCTGCATATCAAATGGTTGGTATCACCTCAAAGCACCAACAGGCCGGTGGGCCAACCGAGCTGACAGGCGATCATCAGCCTTAGATTTTTTCACCAGATTTCTGGCTGGCTGAACATGGGGAAAACCGACAGATATTCTGTGGGATTCTTAAAACACATGAGATTAATGGGATTATAATCATAATTTCATATATAAAAATGATTGAGATATAATAAAATGGGATACTTCAGAATGTTCAGACGATTTTCAGATCAACTTTCATCAGTGGCCATTTCAGGTACCTAAACTGGAGCTACTGTACCAGATATACTGTAAAAACACCAGAACTTCGGGCTATATCCTCTGAAATTTATATAGCCCTTATATACACCTTGTAAATGATAGGTACCTCCAATTTAGCTTCCTGTAGAGGCCATCAACATGCTTGAGGGTGCAGTTGAGCTTACAAAATGTCGACAACCATGGTTGTAAAACCCCCATAGGTTGGGATATAACTTTGTACCTCTGGTTGCGTTATATATATATACATAATATTGTGTGTATATATATATATATTATATACATATGCATATGTGCATGTATATGTATATGTATATGTATATGTATATGTATATGTATATGTATATGTATATGTATATGTATATATTCACTGATAACTGGAATTACTGGAACTGCACTTCCTAAGTGGTGAATGTACATGCCAAACACCCATACCCATATGCTTCATGTGTGGAATTTTTGTATACCCACATCGGGTCATTTTTTTAGGCACTTGTTGGTAACTATTCCATAGCTGGAGCAGTTCACATTCATCCGAGATCATCCGGGTCACTTTTCGGAATCACGGTAGCCTGTTTTTGGGGCTGTTCCAATTGAAAGCACACCCAACTGATGCTGCACCAGCCATCCATTTTGTTGCAAAGTCCAGCTGGATGTTTTGCAGACTCGGCCAAGTGAATGGCAACTGGACAAAAACCCACCGATTTTACCAATGTGAGATACACAAAGGTGCCAGCCCGACAAATTACACGTTCCCAAAGACCACTGATCTCACCATTTTTTTTCTGATCTCACCATTTTTTTCCCGATGGCTTCCCCTGGGCCCTGGTTCCCAAAAACCACCGAGTTGCGGGGTTTTGAGCTCCTTGTCCAACGGAGCATTCTTGTCGGCACCTTTCAAAATGAGATCGTGCACCTGCAGGGTAGGAGCGGCGCATGTCATCGGCCACAGCTTCAATAGACTGTTTGCTTAGACAAGAAACGGATAGTCAGTAGTCATTAGCAGTCATGATCACTCATGCGTCTTGGGACGTTTTGGGATGTTTTGGGAATGTATGAATGTGGCAAAATCTACCTGCAAACTAGCAGAGATCCAATGCCTTGAAGGATCCGACTGCGGGAAACTAAAGGCTCCAACGATGCTTCAGTACACGCAACAGCAACACCTGGTATTCCTGGTGATCTCAAGTCTTCCTTTCCTTGTGTCATTTATGATTTGGGAACCTTTAAACAAATGTGTGTCAAGCATTTTGTCGGATAAAAGAGCATCAAGATGCAAGCACCCAAGTAAATGGATGAACATGGTATGTTCCAGGCCCTCGCGTCGACACAGCTTTCGACCTACCATCTGTGTAGCCATGGAAATGCCTGCAAGGATCAAAATGCTAAACAAAAAAGATATGGTTCTATGAGTTCTATGGCGTATTTGTAGTGGATCCAATCCTGTTTGCTGCTGGAATATTTACCAACATCTACCAACAACACCAGAAATCGCCTGCCTCCTGGATCGAGCCCTTGACACATGCCTGGCAAGGAAACCCAGTGGAAACGTAACCTGTCTTGATCATCACTGCCTTTATCAACATGATAATAATAAACAACATAGTAATAAGTATAATCATAAATAATAATAATAATAAAAATAAGAAGAAGAAAAAGAACAATAATAATAGCAATAAATGATAATAATACACAATGATAGCAATACTACCAGCAATAATAATAAAACATAATAATAATACATAATAATAATACATAATAATAATGATCATAAATAATAATAAAAACAATGATAAAAAAAAAAAACAATAGATAATAATGAATAATAATAATACTAGAAAACATAAGAATAAAACCAATAATAAACCAATACTGTCTAACAAGAATAACATATTATACACCATGGACCATGATAAAATATGACAAGACCATGTCCGACAGGGCTCCGCTGCAAAAGACCGAGCATGACCCTACAAGACATGATAATGTCCTGTACAAACTCAGCTGGATTGGATGCCTTCCTGGTGTTTTCAACTAAGTGCTGCTGGCTGGCGGCCTCTTCTAATCGAAACTCCAATTCCGGCAATTCATCTCGAAAGATGTCGTCCGTAAAGCGCTCCGGATACTTCCTGTCGCTGTTCAGGAGTTGCATCACAGGAAAAAACTCCATCACCCAAATGAATCTATTTAATGGACGCACATGGATGACAAGTTCACCTATTACTGGTTTATACTGGTTTACTGGCATCCTACAATAAGGCTCGGCTCATGCCCCTGGGATCCTTGACACACGGCAGACAAATGACTACTATAAAAGGTATGCCAAACATGCGGGGCAAAATCATACATGCCCATTTCTATACTATAAATTCAGGGTCTGGGTCGGTGTGCACCCCTTCCGAGTTTCGCCCATTCTCCCTTCAAGACGGCGCTTAAAAACTACTCAGTGAAGTGGTGATCTTCATGCCCTCTGGTCTACAAACATGGCAGGATGAAACAGGAAATCCAAATTTTGAAACATGTTCCATGCAGCATCTATATATATATATATACATGATTACACATGGATTTTCCTTACCACTATGACATGTCTTGTTCTTGAATGGTCTGGCAGTCTGGCCATCCAAACTATGCATATCTAATTATATATTTATACGGGGTTGTCTCAAACTTTTTTTGGGGGGTATAGAACCTCATTGTCCCATCGTATACAATTGGCATGTCCCAAATATTGAGAGACACAATTCACAACAAGGAGGTCCCGATAAAAGTTATAATTCTTATTGTCAGACATACACCCAAGCAACCATTCAGAGATTTATTAGATCCTGGGTTGCCATGACATGATGTAATAAGCCAAGAAAGCAACTTTATACCATCAAGCCCATTTAACGGGCGGAATCAAATTCACATCACAAAATCAGGAATCTATATTGCTATTGTACAAATAGATATGCAGTAGTACTGTATCTGGTAATATCAATATTGAACAAATATTACAAAGACTATATAGTTTGTGTCTTTATTGGGTTTCTCACATGTTCTACCACGCGTTCCTTCATTTTCCCCACCTGTTTTGTTTTTTCCTGGCACTTGGTAATCTGAATTTCACACATCCCCAGCCCAAGCGCCTTTCGTCTAAGGGTGGATAGTCCGTGGGCGTCGCAGGCAGCTGGTTGAACAAATCTGCCCAGACCTGTCTAGAGACGGGCAAAATTCATCACCAAAAGACCAAAACAGATACTTTGATTACTATCACAGTTATGGCTATATAACTATATATAACCATAAATGGGATTATGAGTTCTGTAACGGTGAAAAACATCAGTGAAATGAAGTTTGTTCAGCCAGTTAAAACTTATAACTGTTAAGGGCTATACTCCCCAAACGCTGAGCTCACCCCTCCACCAGTGGATGGATAAGAAAAGAATGATTGAAACCATCTTCACCTTTTGCAGCTATCATGGCTTACACAAACTGGTTGGTGGTATACCTACTCCTCTGAACAATGATGGAGTTCGTCACTTCGGATGATGAAATTCCCAATATATGGACACAATAATGCCATGTTCCAAACCACCAACCAGCAAATTTGATACAACATGATAGAACTAACATGAACATGTTACCCAAGATGTTTCTGGAGCTTCCAGCACAAAAAGTCACCCAAAAGGCAACTACATAGTTCTAACCCACGGCAACAGGTCCAGCCGGGGGGACAGCACAATCAGGGTTTCAAATCAGTGGTCTGTGGGTTCACTTTCAGGTTGACTTGCGAATTCTCAGGAGATGATGAAATCTATTTCACATTTTATTGAATTTTAGATTATAATGCAAAATCATGATGAATTCTCAGTAGATTTCAGTAGATCATTATCGCCTGATCATGAGTCAATTGACTTCACCGATAAGAACATAGTTGAACACCATATGGCAAACTAGGGCACCCCACACACACACACTCACTCACTCACTCACAAACAAGCAAAAAGACAAAAAGACAAAAAGACAAAAGGACAAAAAAACAAAAAGATACAAAAAGACAAAAAGACAAACAGCTCAGTTTTTGCATATATATATATATTATATACTCGTATACGTTGATTTCATTCGCAATTAAGATAACTACCTTACCTGCCACATCCTTGTTTAAGCCTGACACTCCACTGATCTCCTTGTGAGATGGTATCATTTCGGAGCCAAGGCTATGGTAGTGGGACTAAGCTCACTACACTGGATCCAGCCGCCATGACAAGGAACCCACCTGCGAATGTGCTGGGGGCCTTGATATCACGGATTTATATGGATTTGTTTACTTGGAGGTTTCTTAAAATAGGGGCACCCAAAACCATCCAAGTCATGGATGACAATGACTTAGTATTGAAAGCCATGGGGACTTGGGGAATCGCCATTTTAAGAAACCCTCATTTGACATCACATACATGCTTCTTTGCCGTCTTTTTCTTGCGGTGTGATGAAATTTGCTACTATGTTTCCTTCGAATCAATGCTGGTAAGACTTATTGGAGATCCCAAATGATTTGAAAATCATGGGAAGTGTTGTCAAGAAGCGGATATATAGAATGAAAGACTGGTTTCATTCGACCACGCCATAAAGACATGAACATCAGTTTCTTGCTAACTTTAAGCTACCTTGATTGCGGAAGTACCCATGAAAATGGGCAGTAGTAGAGGTCATTGTCAAACACACATTCATTTGGAATCCTTTGGACATAGTACATGACCAAACTTACTTCAAAAGAGTTCACCAGGTAGCCATCCCCACGACCCAAACAATGGCTCATGTTTAAGGCAAAGTAACCTTCCAATATCTTTACATTGGTCAAACTTGAGCACACCCCAAAAAATGGATGTATCCTATTATCCTGGATGGATTATTATGGATTATGAATTATTCTGGACTAATTTCTGATTTCTAATGGATTTCTGGATTTCTAACTGGGTCGTCATGTCGGGAAATCTCTGACCCAGCCTGCGCCGTCAGCTGGTCGCCATTTGAGCCGACGCTGGCGCAAAAAAGAATCAGTGTCAAGGGATTCTGCAAAACATATGCCTACTCTATCCTAATCTTCGATCATTATAGCAAATATCATTAGTGCACACATATTAATGCATATATTAATGCATACTGTAGCTTCATGTAGCATCACACATTTGCGACGTGGATGTCTTTTGATCGAATCTCACGGTTGTCAAGCGGACACGTTGTTCGGATCCGCAACCAAGCATCAATGCAGCCAACGTGATAAAAGTGGCCGCAGGGAAGATAACACACAATTTCGCCTTCTGCCATGGTCTGATGACAAATGGCACAAATGTCCCTGCTGGCATCAAGCTGCTCACATGGCAAGGATGCCAGGACTTCTGCAATGTCTTTCTCCTCTGAAGAAACCTCAACAGTCTCACGCACCAGTTCAGTATCCCACTGATGCCCAAAGGCTCTCAAGTAGTTCCAGGGCTGAATCTCACCTTGGATGTGCGGGTCCCTTTGGAAAAGAACACGTTCCCAACAGTTTCGAATATCTAATGAATTAGTCAATTGAAAGCAAACAAATGAACCTCATAGTAATGCCCAAAAAGGATCAAAAAGGTGGAAAATCATTGACGGTTGATTTGACCTTTTCAATTGGATGTGTAGTATATCTGATGAATGAAGGGTTTCATACAGTCTCCTTAGATTTGCTTGCCGCTGGATTAACGTCAGTTTACACCAACTAACACATCAAACTACAGAAACACTAAAATCTGGCTGTCAAATTTGGTTACTTAGTACTTCTGGTAGATGTTTCCAAAAATCGACCCTCTCCATCTCTGCTCCCTGATTTCTTTGAAATGATTTTTTGGATCCATCCACTTTCCATCAGGTCGCGGGCATGTCTTCCCCTTCTCCCCAGGTCCTTCAGCGCCTTCTGCCGGTCCTCCAGCATCACCTGGGGATCCATGGCGATCTCTGCGCCGACGGCCTGCAGCCTGGCTCGCCGAAGACAGCCCAGGTGCACCCATTGGGGGATCACGTTGGGCTCCATAATGAAGCCCAGCCGCACATCTCCTGCGATGGGAAAACTATGGGGGGGAAACGAAAATTTGATGCTGACATCTCCTGGTTATGTATAGTGGTCATTAATGATCAACAGACTCAGACTTGGAAAATCTTAGTAATTTAATTCAATGGTTGGTATTGTTTACAATTGCGTGTCCAAAAACTATGAAAGATTCAACCTTGGCATCATCATAGCAATAAAAACGAAAACATCAACTTGTCCTGCAGCAAAATTCTGATGGCAACAGCTGCAGTGCTCAGATCTTGAGTGTCCAACTTCCAAGTACAGCGCTGGCAAGTCAGGCCGCACAGCCCTACTTGGAAGGGCTCGAACCGTTCGAGCTCGGACTGGGCGCGCCGGGACGCGAAGGTTCGAGACGATCATCTCCAAGTCATCATCAATTTTGATGGACACCTCGTGGTTAAGCCAAAACTGTCAAAACAAAAAACACATCATTGGGCATTGGGCATTGGCATTGGGCATTGGGCGTTGGGCATTGGGCATTGGGCATCATCATCACCATCATCATCATCATCAACAACATCATCATCATTGTCGTCATCATCAGCATCATAATCATCACCATCATCATCATCAGCATCAGCATCAGCATCATCATCAGCGTCATAATCATCACCATCACCATCACCATCATCAGCATCAGCATCAGCATCAAAATCATCACCATCACCATCACCAGCATCAGCATCAGCATCACATCATCATCATCATCATCATCATCATCAGCATCATCAGCATCAGCATCAGCATCATAATCATCACCATCACCATCATCATCAGCATCAGCACCAGCATCAGCATCAGCATCACATCATCATCATGATCATCATCATCATCACCATCATCACCATCATTATCATCATCATCATCAGCATCATCAGCATCAGCATCAGCATCATAATCATCACCATCACCATCATCATCAGCATCAGCACCAGCATCAGCATCACATCATCATCATGATCATCATCATCATCATCATCATCACCATCATTATCATCATCATCATCATCATCATCATCATCATCATGATCATCATCACCAGAATCAGCATCATAATCATCACCATCATCATCAGCATCAGCATCAGCATCACATCATCACCATCATCATCATCATCATCATCACCTTCATCATCATCACCATCATCACCATCAGCAGCAGCAGCAGAATCAGCATCATCATCATCACCATCATCATCAGCAGCAGCATCAGCATCAACATCACACCAGCATCATCAGCATCATCATCATCATCAGCATCCTCATCAGCATCATCATCAGCATATTATTATTGTTCTTCATCATCATCATCAACATCATCAACATCATCATCATCACCATCACCATCACCATCACCATCATAATAATAATAATAATAATCATCATCATCATCAACATCACCAACATCATCATCATCACCATCATCATCATCACCATCATCATCGTCACCATCATCATCATCGTCATCATCATCATCATCACCATCATCCCGCATGAGGGGGAAATAGAATCTGAAACTACTTAACATATCATATACCCTATCTATATATCCGCATATATATATATATATATACTCACATATTATTGAAAACTAGCACAACATATTTAAACGTAAAATCATTTGCTAACCTCCAATCAGAAGCTGGTGCAGAACTTCGATGCCTCAGGTTTGGAAATCCCCGTTGACTCGCTTGTCGCTCCAGGCTTTGCCCCGTCGCAACATTTCGCTCGCCACTGCGCGAGCGGGGAACCAGGGTTTGTCGGTTCCGGGGGCGACGAGGAGGCTCTTGACAATCTGAGTCATCTACGAAAACCTGGGATTTGAGATGCCAAAATGGGGATTTAACCACTCAAAGTTGGGACTAATTCATAAACCCTGGGGATCTAAAACCCCAGACGTTTTGGTACCTGAAAATAGAGGAGCTAATGTGCAATGAGAGTATATGATTATTAAATAAAACCAAACATTCGATGGCGATGAATGAATTTTTCTATATATATATATTTACGCAACAATATATTTGGGCTTCGTCTGACAATTGGATAGTTCAAAATAAAAAGGTTTGATCATTGTCATTTTCTCAATTATAATATATCATACACTGGGGTATCATCTCATTTTTTATTGGTTTAGAGGAACAATTGCAGGAAATCCCTTTCTTTCATGGTAAAACAGGTTTACGGTTAAGAATTCCCCTTAAACCAATCCATTCACCTCAATGAGGCTCGAAAAGGTGACAAACATCAGACAAGGAAACCTGAGGATGGTACGGACACCCCTCATTTCTTGCTGACATAGGGGATGCATTATTATATATTGGATATGTTGATTATATTATATTATATGTATACCTAGACCCTCCAAGTACCTATAAAAATTGTGTTCTACCCCATGGTTTGAATTCGTTGTAGATGTTTTTGTTATTTTTTGGGGGGTATGTATATATGTTAAGTTCATGTTAAGAAGCAGGGCCAAATTAATCAACACCAACGACATTCCAAACAAAACGTTTGGCAATACTACTTTGGGTTGGTCCCGCCCTATTAATAAACATGTGCGACACCCCCTATTAAACAACACCCTGCTCAGAAATCCTAATTTTGTGGTAGTCAGGAATCAGGAGTTTTTTTAATGGTTTTAATTAATTGTTTTTTTGATTGTTGAACAAGTAATGTCTTGAAGGGATGTCCCATGCCCAATCTCACATCACACAGTCTGGAGGTAGATACTGTACCCTAAGTTCTGCATTGTAAGGCCAAGTACGAGAACACCTTGAGGCCCCACGGCGTGGTACGACGTAGGAGGCTGCACGTCGATTCGCATGGGTATGGGACCTTAAGACCTACGGGCCCATGTTTTTTACCATCAATTTTTTGGGTACCCAGGTTTTGACCCACAATCCAGTTTTGTATAGTTTTGTGTATAAACAAATCACCATTGAAATCCAGGAAACTGGAATCGAATCAAAGTCGACTCCTGTGAAAGGAACGGCGCTTTCGCTCTGCATGGCATTGTGGTCACGGCTCACTGCACTACCAAACCATTGTCTGCCGGGAGCCAAGCAGAAGCAAATGAAGCAAGTACACGTCGTGACGTGTATTTGCCCCTCCCTGTTTAAGCCTACTTACAACGTTGTCATGGGGGGTATCCAAAAATGTTCCAAGT